TCTTTTCCAGGCTGAAGAAGCTCAGCCCCCTCAGCCTCTCCTCACAGGGCAAGTGCTTCAGCTTCTGACCATCTTGGTGGTCCTTTGCAGAATGCAGTCCAGTTTATCTGTGTCTTTCTTGTATTAAGGGCACCCAAACTGGATGCTGTTTTCTAGATGTGGTTTAACAACTGCCAGTCTGGAAGTGATAACCACTTCTCTCAATTTACCAGCTCTAGTTCCGCTACTAAAGGTCCAGGATGCTGATAGAATTCTGCATCAGGACACACCATTGTCCAACATTCAGCTTACTGTCCAAAGGATTCCCAAATCCTTTGCCACAGACCTGACCCATTAGTCAGTCAGTCAGTCAGTCCATCCCCAGCCTGTAATAACTGAATGTGCTCATCTCTGAGCTGGGTGCTGGGCAGCACAGCCTTTCTGAGTGACTCAACGTGAGCAGGCACCAAGGACAAAGTGGTGAGATCAGGATGAGATGCCCAAAATGTTTTACCTCATCCAACACAAGCCCACAGACGCTGCCACTGGAAGGAGGTGTAAAGATATACTGAGATGGCAGCAGTTCACAGCTCCCAAGCTCCATATTTGGAACACATTTAGCTTTGGGGAGAATTTAGAACATCTCAGTGCAATTTATGAGCTGCTTCACACTTTCCTAACCGTCCTGTGATGTAGATGGGTGTGTATAAGAATCCACATTTAAGACGGCTGTATTTGGGATACTTTTTGGGAGGAGTCTCCCTCTCCTCCAGCCTTTTTGAATCCAGAGAAGTCCCACCAAATGTACACTTCAAAGATGGAAGAGGCAGAGATGATTCAAGTAGCAGGAGGGTGAGAGGTTTTGGAGAACAGTGGGGGAGCTGGAGGGGCAGCGTCACTTCAGAAGAGGAGAGGTGGAGCTTGAGTCACCTGTGCTGAAATAGTGCAAGGAAGAGCAGAACAGAAAAGAAGCTGCCAGAGAGACCTTCAGCTCTACTCCTCAAAAAACTCTTTCAGACACAGACCAAGAATTACTTCTGGAAGCCCTATTAGTAAACTGAGTAAGCACTTCATGATCATTGATACAACATTTCTGTGAGGTAAAGAAAATAAACACCTGCCAAGGACAGGGCTACTCACCACTAGTCTGGTTTCCAAGCATTTACCATGGATAATTTGCTTTTAAGTAAAGCAAGCACCAAACTGCCTGGAAATCAGATATCCAGTGTCCTGTGCAACCCAGAAGAGTTTGTCTCCATACAATGAAATACATAAAAGCCAAGAAGCCAAGCGAAATATTGCTTAAATTAGTCAGTCAGAGGGGAGTCAAGGGGAGGAACAGCTGCCATGTTCATGATTTGATTCCCAAAGAGAAATCTCTGCTAGGATTTCCCAGGCCTAACTCTTGCAGAGTTGGACACCAAAGCCTTCCATCCCCATTTAATCATGAGCAGATGCGACTGATAATTCTCTGCTTTAAAAACTTTATGGACCACCAGTGTCCAGTGGCTGATCAGAGAATCATGGAATGGCAGAGGTTGGAAGGGACCTCCATGCTAAAGCAGGGACAGCTACAGTAAACAGGGAAGAAGATCAATATGAAGCCATTTTACACTTCCATTAAAAGAAATAGAACTAACAACACACATTATTCTTACAGCAAATGCAATGTGAACATGTAAGAGCAGATATAATAAAACCACTGGAAGATGCTTTACATAAAATATGATGGTAATTAAACTCCCAGCTCAGCAAGACAATGAAAACAAGCTACCTTCAATCCCATGGCTAATATCAAGTCCTAGTCTCTGAATTTTTATGGACTGTAGATTAAAAGGCACATCAGCTAAAGTACCATTGGTAACAGGGGCCCTAAAATGACAGTGTTTCACCAAAGATCCAAAATTCTACTAGACTGAGATGTAATTGACTAGAGAAACATCATTTTCAGACTGAGAAAAAAAAAAACAACCCAAACCCTATGAAAATTAATAAAGCTTTAAATAATAATACTGGTTTTGCAACATAAATTTATTTCATGGCCCAAAACATCAAAATCTTGGGCTAAAGCAGAGACCTCTGAACTCAGCAGAAGAAACATCAGAGGTTACCAAAACAATTCATACTGCAGGGTAGATAGCATATATCCTGTACACAAGTATTAATATTTAATGTAATATATCATAATTTGCTTTTACTTCAACATCCTATAATGGCCTTAGTTTCCCATTTCACTCTCCAATGATGGAAATTATTGTACAGCAGAGGTATTGCCATTTATATGGAAAAGGACTGCTCAAGTCCACTGGAGTTTTGGATTGCCAAGGAGGATAGGAGAAATCTTCAGATCCCAGTCTGCCAAATCATGGCTGAGTAAAGTTAAAGATAGGCAGCTCTTCAACTGAGTAATAAATACAATGAGGTCCTAACAACAGAACACAAGCAATCAATAATAAAACTGTTAAAAAAATTAAGACTTGTCTCAAAAAGTCAACCCCAGTAACTGAATCTGTTCAGAGAAGGACTGCAGAAGGAGAGGAAATTGTCCTAACATGATCCTGGCCACCCTCTTGCACCTACTATTCCTTGGGAATGGACAAACTGCTTATTCTAGCACAAATCTGAGGCCTAGTTTCTATGCCCCAATATGGCATCAAAGAGGATGCAAACACAGTGAAGTAAGAGCACAGCACAGATACCTGTCTGTGTGTCAGTCAGTCACTCTTAGCATTCAGTGTCCTACCATTGGGCAGCATATTCTTGCAAGGGCCTGCTGGAGGAAGGACACAAAAACCCTCCTCCACACATTTTGGATGGTGCTTTACTAAACCAAAAATGTGTCTTTGGACTTCTCTGCCCCCTTAAGAGCTTTCAGAATTTTGCCTCACTGGTATTGCTGGAGGCACCATTTGCTTCTGTCTCACCAGCACAGGTCTGACTCGTGCTGAGGGACCTGTCATAATGGAGGTGCTAACACAGAAGTAGAAAACAGATTACAGCAACAGCAAGGGCTAAGAGAAAATTCTCCTTTGCAGAGTGCATGTGCAGTAAGAATCAGTGTGGTTCCTGCTATGAAGCTTAAAAGCAAGAAAATAATTGCTTGCACCCTAGGTGGGGGATGGAAATGCCCTACCTGCTGCTAAGGACAGCTCTGAAATAGAGAACCCTGGCTCTGGACTGGAAACTGGAAAAGCTCCACTCTTGCTTGGTTGGCATCAGGCAAGCTACAGGATTTCTCCTGTTCCTCCTTCTGTGAAAATCCCCTCAGTATCCATGCTGTGGCTGGCACAGCATGAAGGCATGGCCCCACAGGAGATATTCTGGGCTGCAGAGCATGCACCAACTTCAAGGAGAGGCAAACAGGAAGAGAGTTTATGCCCATCTTTGATTTCAATTAATTGCATTGACTGACTAATCCCTCTAGTTTCATAATTTCAATTCTGTTCCTTGCACTATCTCTCCTATCCATGGCCATGTGCCATCCTGGCTTCTCATCAGTCTTCTTTTGTACAAGATCATGGTGGGATAACAGCTACCTGCAGCTTTGCTTATCTCCTTCTTTGTCGTCTTCTTTTTTTTCCCTAGAAACTGCATTGCACTTGCCCCTTTGAATTCTGTTCCTCTATTACTGTCAGGTCATTTCAAACAGCACTGCCTTCATGCCAGTGCTAAGTTATGTATCTCCATCCCTCACTCTGTGATTACTGGTTTCAAAAGTCCTGAGCCTACTCCATAGGCTCAGGGGGGGCAGGGAGGCAGAGATCGAGTTTAAGGAGACCAATAGGTTTTCCTGAAAAACAGCTTTATTCTTCATGTTGAAAATAAAATGTTTTCAACTCTTCTGGACACTGAACCAAGTCTGTGGCATAACTCATATACCTGCAAGTAAAATGAAACCCTTATTTTATTAAAAACACTTCTAAAAGGGCATCAGTCAGTAGTCTAAAGAATATAAAGAGAAATAACCTGAATTTTTTAAAGTGTATTTCCTCCATATGGAATATGTTCATGGTTCCTAATAGAAATGTCATTAATTCTAACAGAATTTCTGCACATTCTATATAGCAGGGTTTTATTGTAGAACAAAAAGATACATTCTAAATTTGGGAGAAGATCTGTTTGATGCCTTCCCTTCTGTTTACAAAACCTAGTCAGAATGTAACTACATTCTGAGGCGGTACAAAAACAGCATGAGGTGCAGAGCTGTGAGTGCTGCATACGTGTGCACACACAGCCCTCCCGTAGCTCCCACGTACGTGCACTGTTACCAGCCTCAAGTTACTTCCTTTAAGGATGAACATAGGGACGGTGATGATTTTTCAAAGTCAGAGTCATGTTTAGCAGAGCTGAAAGGCAAGGTGTAACACCCACCTACTTCATACTTGGAGTGTTACAAAAACACATTCGAAAGATTACCCCAAATCACTCCTCCAATCAAATATTTCACCCTTTCAGCATGACGCAGAAGTTTAATTTCCACTGATGGGTGACCTCGAGAGTGCTGTATACCCGCCCCCCCTCCCAATGGCAGCGGTTCCCCTCACTGGCAGACTAAAGCGGGTCTATAAATAACTTCAAAAGGAATTGTCTCTCTTCTCACGCACTGCAGACAGCTGTTTACAGACATCCCGACTCCTTATGCACTGCGTTGGCCCAGCTCTCATCCCACTCTTTCCTTTGCTCTTCCTAAAAAACCCTTGGGCGATGTGGTGCAGGTAGGACGGGGACCCTCCCCTGCCGCAAACGCCCGTTCCCACAACTTGAGGGAAGCTGCCGGAGCCGGAGCGCGGCCCCGGGGAAATTTCTCAGGGCAAGGGGGTTGAGATCTCGTGTAATCCGTCCTTAAGCTCCACGGTCCCGGCTGATCCTCGGCCCCGGGAATCCCCTCCTCCCCAGCCCGGAGCGGAGCCCGCAGCCGCTCGGGGCCCGCGCATTGCCCACCTGCAGGGCCGGGCAGGGACACGCGTGTGGGGCCCCGCACCTGCCCGCAGCCCCCGAGACAAAAGCCCGGGCTGCCTCACCTCCTTCAGCTGCTCCAGCTCCTGCTTGAGGCCGTCATACTCCGCCTCCAGCTCATCGTACTGCTGCTTGAGGGTGAGCTTCTCCTCCAGCACCACCAGCCCATACTCCGCCGCCTGGATCTTCTCGTGGGTCGTCTCGGAGAGCTCCCGGGTCAGCCGTTCGATCTCGCTCTTGTAGTGGTCTGCGCCCTGCAGCACCTCCTCCGCAGCCATAGCCCCGCCGGCACTGCCGCGCCGCCGAGCAGGCAGCCAGGGGGCGGGCGCGGCCGAGGGGCGGCACCGGCACGGCCGGCCCGGCCCGGGGATGGGGGTCGGGCCCGCCTGCGGCAGCCGCCGCCGCCGAGCGCGGTCCGCCCCGCCGCAGCCGCGGCCCCCTCCTCCCCCGCCGGCCGCCCGGGACGCGCCGAGGCCGCGCTCGCCTCCCCCGGCCCTGCGGCGGCCCCGGCAGCGGGGACGCCTGGGCTGGCGAGCGGGCGGGCGAGCCCCGCTGCCCGGGGAGGCGGCGGCGCGCTGGAGGCCGGGGCGGCGAGCGGGGCGGCCGGGAGCGCGCCTTCGTGAGGCGGCTCCCGCGGAGATGCTGCTGCTGCTCCTGCTGCTGCTGCTGCTGGCGCTGGCGCCCGCCTCCTCCCTTCCACACGGTCCCTCCCCTGCGCTCTTTAAGATGACAGCGTCCTCGGCTCTGGCATCGCCGCCAGGCGGGCGGGGAGGCGGCGCAGCAGCGGCGGCGGAGCTGCCCGGGCGGTGCGGAGCCGCGCCGGGATGTGGGCGCTGCGCCTGCGGGGCTGCTCCCGGCCGGGCCCCCTCCCTGCCGCTCCCCTCCCGCCCCTCCGCCGCCGTGTCAGCGCCTCTCGGTTCTGCCCGCCGTGATGCTGCTGCAGCGGCGGCGGTGCGGGTATAAGTAGGAAGGGAGATGCAGCCCAGCAAACTGCGGGAGCGCGGCAGCAAGTATTCCCCTGCTATTTCGGGAAACTGAGAAAGCGGAGTTAGCTCTGCTCCATTCCCTGCTCCCGGTGAATGAGTGCGTTTGGTTCTGGTCAAGGCAACCTGAATGCGAAACAGCAGCGGGGTCGGGGCATTGGGCTAGGGCTGCTCTTCCATCACCATTAGCACAAGGTCTCGGTGCCACTGATTAGACAGCAGGACAAAACTGATTCAGCTCAGATGCAGTCACACAATTGTTTCTCTGTCAAGTTAACCGGGGGACCTGATGCATAGATTATGTCAGTTTTATGCCGGCTTTATGCTGACTGCAGAAAGACAGATGCTATTTGTCCAGCATAAAATTGGAGTGGTGCAGACAGACAGGAACTGATCTCTTACAAAGCCTGCCAGTAAAAAGTTAACACACCAGACTAGGCGCATTTGACATATTTGAACTGGAAGAGTGAGTTCATCCTGGATCAATGTCATAGCCTTTTTTTTTATACTCAGAGTCTTAGACTCCAATTTAATGTTTCTTCAAACTATGGCCTGCAAATAGATTTGAATTGATATGGGTCAATTTTTGCCCTAAGAACTGGCAGGACCTGTTTTTCATGTGTTACAGACTTTTTTTACTTTTATATTTACTCCTTTAGAGGTTGACAACTGAGCTAGAATTTCCAAATTGAGGTGTTTGTTTTAAATAGAAGTTACCTGTAAGAAGATGGATGTCACTGCCTACCAATGCAGCACTGTATTGGAAATCAAAGACAGAGATTTCCTTTCTTGCTGACCTGATAATGTCGTTTTAAACAAGCCACAATCCCTTTCTACCATGGCTTCCCCATGACTAAGAAATAGGTAAAAATTGTTAGATTGCTCAGCAAAGTTATTTGAGATCTGCAAATGGAAGCACTAGTTATACAATGTATGCATACAGTATGTGGCATATATCAATTTCATAAATATATGTGCATGCATACATAACTAATACATTGTAATCCAGCCTGCACAAACACTTGTCATTGTCTAGAGAGCATTCGTGGAAGAAGCAAGCAAAGTAATGGAAGTTCTGTCAATTTTTAGCTTGAAATCCTCTTCCAAAATGCACATATTCAATAAATTCTACTGTAGAAGCAAGTGTGAATATTAATAGGAAAGAAACAAGTGTGAATATTAATATATGAGAAGAGTGAGTGGCTGTCATTGATGAGTGAATGTCAAAAGAGAGGAGGACCCCAGTATCCCAACTGTAATTCCCATGATACAGCGAACCTCAACACCCATTTCTTAAAAGCCAATGAGAGATTCCACAAATCAGAAGGAAAAAAAAAAAAAGCCCAAATTTCGAAGGAGAAGCAAAATGTTGTCTCAAGACCTTTTTAAGTTCTAGTCTAGTTGCCTTCCTCAACTTTGCACCTAGTCCCCTGTGCATGGAAATGTTTATTGAGCACAGGAATAGATCAGAAAACAAACATCTTTGAGACCAGTGCTAAAAATGAGTGGTTGGGTGAAGGATAGTGTGGAAACTGGCTGAAGCACAGGATGCCTACAGCTAAACAAGCCTTGGTATAACTCCACTTAGCATCATTTGGTTGACAATCTCACTCACAAGCCAAGGGCAACCTCACCTCTTCGGAACATCTGCACCCCAGAGGGGAAATCTGGTATTTTACAGTGTGTCAGTTTTTCTGCAACACCCCAAAAGAAAGTGCAGTGTGGAAGGCAGGTGTGGTGCCCTGTGCAGCAGTGTGTGGCATTCACATTCTCTGGAAAAATCCCTTCGCCCAGGAGTTGTCTCTGGGAAGCTGAGGAGCCTCAGAGAAAAAGGAAAACAATTCTTATCTCATTTGCTCTGTTTTGCTCCTTTGGAATGTGTTTGGAGATTGTTTATCCAACAGGTGATTGTTTCATGGGATTCTGGAGTTGTTTTCACTCTTTGGCCGATCAGGGCCAAGCTGTGTCAGGGCTCTGGAGAGAGTCACCAGTTTTCATTATTAGCTTTTTAGCATTCAGTAAGTATCCTTTCTGTATTCTTTAGTAAAGTATAGTATTTTTTAATATAATATAGTATAATAAAGTAATAAATTAGCCTTCTGAGAACATGGAGTCAGATGCATCACTCCTGCCTTTGTCGGGACATTCTCAGCAAACACAATAGCAGTGCACAGTGACTGTGAGGTCCTCAAGCTCCTCTGAATTGAAAACACCAAGATGCCCGTGATTTTCTGTGACTAGTGCCCATTTATCCCTCTTCTTGCCTCCTAAATGTAAACAATATCAAACCTGGATTCTTTGGCGATATTTGTCTCTGTTTTAAAAATCGACTTCTTTAAAAGTCTTCTGTGAAAAGTCCCCATTTGTGAGTTGTCAGTTTCTCTGCACTGCCTGGGCTGGGCAGCACACACATGGATACCTTCAGACATACATATTTAATTGAGTGAACCCCACCTTTCACTTCTCTATCTTTTCTTAGGCCTAAAAACCAGCACCTACATTCTGTTACCAAGATTCTCCATTTGTATTTATAATGGACTACTAAGGTCACTGATGGATCTGGAAAATATTCAAGCTCCTTTCCCTGTTACAAGGAGCTCTGATTTTGCCTCATTCCTGACTCTGTGGAGATGAGAAAAGATGGATGATCTTACAATATAAATAGCATCTAAGTTTTAGCCAAAGTCTTCATTTAAAGAAGGAGGTGCTGCAGCATGACCCAAAGGTGGTCATTCCCTAGGGATTATCCCATAACAGAGGCAGTGGGACCTCCTCTGATGGAGATCTCTGGCTTTCTGGGGTGCCTGTGATAAACTATGGATTCAAGTTATGGATTCAGTGGTGTCAGCAAAGCTCTGGTACCTTTAGGAGCTCACTCATCAGTGCAGATAGCCCCAAAACAATGATACTGGCATTTCAAATAATTCCACTGCCCTGGTGTGATCACGTCACATTGGTTTAAGCCCTGCTGCGATGCTCTTGGGTTTTCTGCCTCCCCAGGTTCAAAAAGCATACCCTGGTCTTATTAAAGGTTGGCATATCACCCTACATTGTTATCTCTCCTTCATTTTGCCCTGTGCACCACCTTCACATGAATATTTCAAGCAAGTCTCAAGTAATTTTGTCTCCATGTCATACCACATACTTTAATAAAACAAGCTTCATTCTGACTGCATCCATTTCATGGGCATGAAACTGAATTCCTTTGAATTCCTGAGATGTGATACCACTGGATTCCTAAACCAAGGATAAGAGGTTCCAGTGCTGATTACACATTTTTTTAACCAATCAGGTATTCAAGGACAGGGAAAATTCCACAATTCAAATCTTACTCGAGATATTATTAAATTTCAGATCATTTAAGAAGCATTTAATGACCTCTATGAAATGAGTGATTGGTTCTGTGCCTTAGTGACAGTGCAGCTGTAAAAGCAGCCTGCACTGTATGGCAGAAGGCTGGATCTGCACCTGCAGCATGCACAGACATCCCTGTGAGTCCATTTGTATGGAGCATCTCAGAGCACCAGAGCCCAAACCAACTGAGAACTGCTAATTAGCAGTGTTTGGCAGGCTCACCAGAGTGGCCAAAGGGGGGAAAAAAAACAACAAGAAAAAGAAAGGTATGAGGACCAATCTGTCATTGTTAATGAAAATGGCATTGATTTCCTGAATGGGAAGAAAAGGAAAAGCACTGAGAGAAGTCTCTATGGGAACTGTGCTGGGTCTGGTTAGGAAATAAACAAGTGACTGTAACACTGCCAAAGCTTTATTTTTCTCCAGCACTGAATGTAAACATTACCTTTGTAATGAATGGTCAGCCTAGAGATAAAAGGGAGACACTGGGAAGAAAATGAAATTTAAAAAGATATTATGAGATCCTAGTCCAATAGAAATGGTAATAGGTTTTAAGAAAATTAGTTTATGGAGACTGTTAAGAGAAACTAAACACAGGAGCTAAGAAACAATAATGCATATAATAAAAAGTAATGATGTTTCTCTGATTAATGAGTGTCAGCATTCAGAAGAGAGGCTTTCAAACAGATGTGTCCTTTTGTGAGTCCTCTGTGAACTGCCTGCAAAGGTAAATAATTTTAATTTTTATAAGCCTTTTTTCAGGTGGAGTTAAATGTGATATACAGGAAACTGTAATTTTACCAGAAAATCATTTTGGGCTCCAAAAAGCTGGAGGTTGAAAACCACTTGTGTAGAACATATGGAACCTGAAAGGAAAATGGAGTAAAACAGAACACTTCAACAAGGAAACCAGGGAAAAGGGCTGCACAAAAATGGTTGTCAGGATGCTTTGTGTGTAATGAGCAGGGATTAGAGACTCAAAAATTAATTTTACAAGAAAACTACAAAAAATTAAGCGTAAGAACATTTAGAAAATACAGTCAGCAATAACTAAGCAGCCAACTGCTACTTGCATATAGAAAACTTACAGACTGCAGCAAAGAATGTGAATTATAACTGTTGTACTGAATAAATAATTTCAGCTTGAAAGGGTGTTGCTTTCAGGGAGTGTTGCACATGGGTCTTGGTTCAGCTCCACAACTGTAAGCTGAGTCTTTTAATTGACAGCATTGCCCCAGGCTCAAGATCCAGGACACTGCTCTTCCATTCTATGCAGGGACTCAGAACACAAATAAATAATGGCTGAAAGGAGCACAGAAAAGATTATTATGCCTATTTAAACCACCATGCACTTTCCTGTGACACAAGGAAGACCTGCCCACTGAGAATCCTTTGTGCAAACAACTTGTCAGCAATTTAGCCTAGATAAATCAGTGTCACAGTGCTCCTTACTGAACAGCTGCAAACCTGGGAGGAGAAGGGAGAGCAGAGTTTATCTCAGATTTACAGCAGAAATACTCCAAAACCAGCAAGAAGCTGGAGTGCTCCTCGGGGCTGCCTGCTGGCCACAGTGCCTGGCTCCCCCTGCTTTGTAATGGCCACTCCCTCCCACTTCATCTTCCTTCAATCCCCATCAGCCCAGCTACAGCCTGGGGGCTCTGACACCCTCAGAGCAGTGATCTCTGGCCAAGCTGCCAGCCAGGACCCTCCTGAGGCAGGTGCAGCACCTGTGGGGATGACCAAGGGAGTTTCTGTCTGGAACACCTGGATCCTCCATGGAGCAGAGGCTTTTTGCTGCAGCAGAGATGCCCAAAGCCTCTCATGGCTGCTTGCACCCCCAGCCCGCTGCTATCCTCAATGCCCAAAGGCACAGCACAATGCCCTCTTTTCTTGGCAGCTCTATTCTGGCACTTTTCAAACCCTTTGGTTTGTTGTGTTTTTTTTCCAGACTCTCACAAATCAATTTCTCAGTCATCTTTAGTGTGTTTCTGGGAAGTGAAATGAGGTTATACATTATTCCTCCAGTCTTCTTCTTCCTTTTATTATGTCAAGTCACCGCCAACAGCTTTGGAGTGAGTGGATGTGCAGAGCTGCTCAGTTCCCCTGCTTCTTCCTATCACCACAGCATGGGCAAAAGCAGCTGGCAAAACCAGAATAATAGGTAGATCCCACATTTGAAATGTGATCTGACTGTAAAATAAGAGCCAGACTGCAGGTGATGATCCCATTTTGACTAGTTTTTCTCCTCAGAAGTCATTAGTGTGGGAGAACAAATTTCTGTATAACAATGTGCCTTAAATTTGACAGCCTAGAATCTGCAGTGCACCTATTAAATACAGCTTCAAAAGGCACTTAGTTCTGCTAAAGCTAGCATTTGCCTTACATTTCTTATTGTGCATCAATGACTAAAAACATTTACAGACAGTGATCACTGAGAGAGAAACTGAAATTTCTATGTGGAATCTTAATGTTATGCTGTGTTGATAATGTGAAGAAAATTTGATTCAGATACTATAAAAAGCATATGATTTAGTGATTTTTTTCAAGAGCTCTAAGCTAATATTTCATCACTCAGCTTCTAAAAACACATTACAATGAATGCAGAACCCACAACACAAAGAAAATTACATTACATTTCTATTAAGTGAGTGTGGCATTTGGGAAAGATGCCAGGTTTATGACACTATCCTATAAACTTGGACTTTGCTAGGTTTTTATCAAAGTACCTAATACAGAATGGGTGGTGTGTATTCAAAGCACTAAAACAATGGATTACAAAGAAGGCATATGCATCAAAGCTACAATTATTTTCCTCAGCTAAGAGAGGAGTCAAAGTCCAATTAGGAGATTAAGATCTTGAACTGGAGACTGACTTCCGTGGGAATTTTCCCAATCACTTTTGGTACATCTTGGATTAAATGATTGTTCTATCACAAAGCAGGATACTGCAAACTTAACCACTTTAATATCCTTTCTAGAACTTTTTCAATAATTGCATTTATACTGTAAATGCTTCTTCTTATAATAATCACATTATTCAACCCACAGACACAGATTGCAATAGCTGAAACAGGTGCTACATAAAATTATTTCATGTGAATTCTGTACTGTGAAATCTAACACTTTAAAAAAATTAAAACCCATAAAACTTTCTAAGGATATTTTCTTCATGGCTTGTTTTGCTGTAATATTTTGGGCTATTATAATTTGCCTTATGCTCTCTGAGCCAAATCAAGACTGGCTGGTACTTTGTTCCAGATTTCCTTACAATCAAGAGCTTTATTCTTACAAAACAGAAAACCAAAAACAAAAACCACAAACAAAAAAATTAAACACTTCCAAGAGATTATTGAATGAACTTATGAACTTTGGAGGTCCAGGAGAGATGGACTCTAACTAAACCTGCAAATTAGAAAAACATCATGAGCATGGAGCAGTTTCCAGCCCTCACCTTACAGTCCCCAAAACATGACTGAATTCCTAGAGGTCTCCTGGAGGAGAACATGGGAAGGTTTTTTTGGGTGAAACATTTTTCTTTCAAAAGAAAGTCTCATCAATGTAGATGTGTAGGAAGGTTGTGTTGTATTTTAAGAATAGCAATCTGATTGTATCTAGCTGGGAAACTTTAATACAGTGTAAGATGAGAGTAAACCAGTCCTATAGTGTGAGAGCCTTTCCTGATCTGTGCTACCATTTGGGAGGGGGATAAAGTTAATTGGGAGTTTCTGTGAGGTTGTCTTGCTAGGTTTTTTTTATTCCTTCTCAATGATCAGGAGTTTCTGAAGGCACACCAGATGGAGCTTGGCATGGGGAGTATTTGAAGTGGGGATACAGCCACCTTTGGGTGCTGGGTGCTACCCTTGCTCACAGCAGTTCCTGGTAAAAGCAGAGGAAAAGGCAAGAGGGATGCTGCTCTTTGCCTACCTTTGTTTGCCCAGCTGGGCAGCAGAGGATCAAGGGAGAATAGGAGAAGCAGTCAAATTCTTGCCAGCAGTGCACAAAATTGAGAAGAGAAATAACAGATGGCAATTCCTTTGATGCAAGGAACCCATCTGCTACTGCTCCCCCTTATGAGCTGCTGGAGATACTGTGTGGAAAACTTCAGAAAGGCTGTGAGAGGCAAATGTGAGTGTGGGTTGCATGGGAGAAGATGGAAGAGAGAGTAGCTCTGCTTGTGGAAGGGGACATTACAAGAAGGGAGCTGTCCTTCTGCTCAGCTCTTGGTAAGTCCCAAAATAGGCTTGTGAAAAGTTGAAGGGACTCGGTTATATAGGACAACATGCAAAGCAGCTGCTCCCTGATGTCCCACATTGAATACAGCAGTGAGAATAGCTTGCAAAAACCTGGCTGCAAGGGAAGTCCACACAAAGCTCATGCAGTAAGTGTGGCAGCAGGGTGCACAGTCCTGCAGAGCAGCTCACTTCTGCTACTGACATCTTCTCTCATCACCTCTCACTCTTGCCTGCTTTGATGAGCAGAGGTAATATATCTTGATATTACGTAACATTGATGCCTGACAACTACCATTTATTATTCCTTTTAAAATTAACAAGTTCATAAATCTTTCTGCTTTTCAGGCTGTCTGAGAACACAGGCAGCTGCTCTCATTACATTTATCTATGTGTGCGATATGAATGGAACTATGTCTGCAAATATGGGGATGTCAACTTCCCTGTAAGAAAGATGGTCACCTGGAGCATTCAGTACAGCCATAGAAAAGTAAATGTGGGCACCTCATTGCCTTCCTGCTTCTTCCTGACTGGCAGCTGCTGTGCTGTCAGCTGCAGATCACCCAAGGCTGTCACGGACAGGCAACTGAAGAAATAGCAAACAACTTCCATAAGAAGACTCACCACCATGGAGAAGAAAATACAAGTGCCTGGCTAGAAGGAGAAAATCAAATACTAACCCTCCTCTCCTCCTTACTTTTCTTTAAGAGCAATCCCTCTCCTTAATATTGTGAGAAAATGGCTACATTTTAAGGGATTTGACAATTTACTGATAGATGCAGAGGGGAAGCTTGATTTGCAAGCTTGTCACAGATTCTCTCTGCAAGAGAGAGAGTCATGTCAGAGTAGAAACATGTTTTGAAAGTGAATAAGCAGGATGAGGGAATTGTTTTGAACATTGGAATGGTCAGGGCAGTCAAGTCTCTTGAATGACTTCTGTGGCCCATAGCTGGCATCCTTGGACATCAATCCACTAAAAGCTGGAACAGACAGCTTTCACTGACATACACTTCAGGGTTATCCAAAGAAAAGGGCAAGCAGAATACTTTTTTCATTGTCTTTTACAAAAAGCAGTTGAGATGTGGTGTTAAGTAAACATAAAACAAGAGTTAAACACCCACAGACAAACATTTATTTATACACTTGTTTATAAATACTGATATTACAGGAGAATCATGACTTTGCCTTGATCGGGGGCTGAGTTACTGAGCATCATGAGCTGTGATTGGTAGGATAGTACAAATATAGTGAGGTGAGCCTTGTAATGGGCCATGGATCAAAAAGCCACTGAAGAACAGTATCTGAAACTGCTGGGAAGGTGGTTTCATGGAGAAATTTGCTAGTGGCCTATGTTGACATCCAGCCAGAAGTCCCTGAGTAGTGCAGATTTCATTGCTCTGAAAACATCCAACATCTCATGGAAGCAGATTGCCCCAAGTGGAACCATCACATGCTGGCACTGAGGTGCTGCTGCCCATTGCCCAGCACAGAGACAGATTGGGCAGAGCAACTTCATGTTCCTCCAGGACTGGCTGTGCATGCTCACTGTGCATGGTGAAGACCCCAGATAATTCTGATGTGTTGTGGTATTTTCTGGGTTCCCCAGACGGAGGAGGAATTGAGATTCTGACTCCGTGTTCTCAGAGGGCTAATTTATTATTTTATGATCTATATTAAAGAATGCTATACTAAGCTACACTAAAGAATAGAGAAAGGACACAGACAGAAGGCTAAAAGATAATAATGAAATACTCGTGACTCTCCAGAGCCTCGACATAGCTGGCTGGGATTGGTCATTAAGTCAAAACAATTCACATGAAACCAATCAAACAATGACCAGTTGGTAAACAATCTCCAAACCACATTCCAAAGCAGCAAAATACAGGAGAAGCAAATCAGATAATTATTGTTTTCATTTTTCTCTGAGGTTTCTCACCTTCCCAGGAGAAGAAATCCTGGCGAAGGGATTTTTCAGAAAATATGATGGTGACGATGTGTGAGCCCTGTATGTGCAGTTTTTCCCTGTGCAGCCTGTCCCTTGCTTGGGGAACTAAGTAGGTTGAGCTTGACAGTACCACATTGGTGTTTCTCTTCCACCTGTGGTAGATGTGAACTAGAAAATCAGGGCTGGAGAGGGGAAAGAGAAGGAGGGATGGAAGGATGTCTTTGTCAATATGACAATAAGAAAAAAACCAAAATCAGAAAGTGTATGGGAAATGTGTGAGGCTTCAGTGACTGGCTGAGAATTGTCAGTGGATTGGAGATAGAACCCAGGGTGAAAGGAATTGTCCTCAGAGATGGCAATCTGCCATCTGATCCTTGTCAGTAATGTCTGGGGATATGACCACACACTGAAACAGGTCCTCCCTTCCTTTCCCTTCAGAAAACACGGCCAACAGTACCTTGCTGCTGCCATTCTCATGGGAAATGGATGTCAGGGAAGGAGCTGCTAGGGATGACAAGCCAGCTGCCTGCTCTCCTGTGCAGCTCTCTCTTCAGTCTGAGTCTCTGTGTGCTCCAGATTCTGCTGTCTTGATAGAGGAGCTTGAACAAAAATATCAGAAGAAAACTTACTTGGGTGACTAAGCACTAAAAAATGAAGTAAAAACTTATTATAGCCAGCCTGATAGATGAAATTATGTTGAAAAATGAGATTATATATGGGAAAGCTGTTGGCAGCCTAAGGGGAAAAGAAACCTCACTATTAAGCAAAGTTTCTTTTCAATTATTGCTATTAATAAGCTGTGGTTGTAATGATTGGATACAATAAATGTAGGTAGAGGTTACATTAGCTGCTCTGAGACTCCTGATTTTCCTTCTAACCAGTGATCTGCTTAAAGAGAAAAGCAAAATGTATTACAGGTGCCCAAAATTTGCTGGTGGATTACTTCCCTGACCTTATTCAGTGCACAGCATCACAGCATCACAGCTGCCAGGCTGGCTCAGGGAGCTGGGAGCATGGGGATGCTGGGACACTGGGATCAGGCAGTGCCCGAGGCACAGCTCCCCAGACACCCTCCCACCTAAACTGACAGGCTGTCCCAATTCTGGATCAGTCTGAGCATGGCTAAACTGCTTCCTCTGACTGCAGTTAACCTCTACATGAACAAATGCTTCAATCTTTGGAGCGTGAGGTACTGACTGTCAGTGGGAATTTAAAGAAACCCTTCAAAGATAAAGGTCTCTGCAGCCTTTTGTTTCATTTTCTGCACATCACATTCTCTGATGTTTTCAGTGAATGCCTCTGAATTAATGGTGCTTATTCCTTGAGTTAGGAATGAGATCTGGAATAAAAGAGTATGTCTCTAAACAATCCTTCATGCTGAATGTTGCAGACCTGCCAATACATGTGGAAAATCACATTTACCTGCTCCGCAGACTATTTCATCATCTTAACCACTAACACAGCTCCACGCTGACACAGCTGCAGGGACAGCAGAGCTGTGCAGTGCCCAGGGTGTTTGGTCTCTCAAATGGCCAGGGCAGGTTCCTGTGGTACATTCCAGATGTGTTCCTGCACTTCCCACTGCATCACTTGCAGACATTTCTGAACAGCAGGGAGCAGCAGGCAGGACCAGCTCGTGCCTACTACAAGAATTATTTGCCACAGACATGGATGTTCTACATTTCTGCTCCCTGTTCTTCCTCACAGATTTATATGTCAGTAGTTCCCAAGAAGCTTCAATTGGTTCCCTGGGAGTCAAAACAATTTTTTTTGGTCTTTAAGTAGCTTTGTTTTTCTTAAATCCACCTTCAACACTCTGTTCTGCATATTCCTCTTCTTTTTATCCTCTCTCCATTCCCCTTTTACATTCTCTGCTTTCCTCAGGTTTCTCCTGCCACCCTACCACTGATACTATGAAGGCATACAACAAAAGCTACATTTCTTTACGTGATTTAATTTCATATTTATACTGCATAGAAGACAAGGAGTCCTGCAAAGCCATTAATAAAGTGAAAATTCACAGCATATCTATATATAAACCCTAATCTAAATAATTCTGTCATTGCTGCTGGGTTCAGCTGCCATGTGCTGACAGAGTACTGATAAAATACACATGTGATGTATCTCCATCCTTAAAAACACATATAAAAGAGCTATATACCAATGAGACCAATTATTGTTCACTCTGTATAATGAAATGTGCCAAAGCCAGCAAGGACTCGTTGTGAACAAATCGATCCCCTGTCTTCAGGATTTTCTGGTTGCAGCATCAGAGGAGTTCTCAGACAGACCTCCCATTCCCAGCAGTTATTCTGCCACTCCTTGCAGCTGCCTTTATAGCCTGGTCTGGAAAAATTTGCTCATGGAGTCCCTGCAAGTAGATCAGGGAAAGTAGCTTTAGTCTCTGCCTTCAGTTTATAACTAAAGGAAATGGTTTGCCTGAAAATCTGGAAGGCAAATTATGTTGGGAAAAAGAAAGAATTCTTATGTTTATTTTTGTCTCTTTCACTCTAGGGTGCTGAACAACTGCAAGCAAACAGAAGGGGAGCAAAAAAAACCTTCAAAGAGGTGTGGCATGTAAACCTCTGTCATTTCTGGGTTTGGGGTTTTTTAATCCAGGAGGGCTAATGCTTCAGACAAACAGCATTTAACTTGCTAGCCAGAAGTTGCAGAAAGATCTGGCAGGACTGCCCAGCTAACAAAGCAGCAAGAGAAAAGCAGCACAGATGAATGCAGAGCAGTGCACACGGTGAAGTGACCTTAATTCTACGTTCTCAACAGCTTTTGTCACCTGGCGTTCTCCCGCGTCATTGCAGACAGCGCTTGCAGGATGAACCTTTCTATCCCCTGAGCAGCAAAAAGACAGCAAGGCAATATATGGATTAACTATCTTTATATATGGATAAACTTTTGGTACCCCACAAGGCTGTGGTGTACCCAGGCTTCCGAGAGGCTCTGGCCACTGCAAAAATGAGATTTTCCAACTAGAAAGGGTACAGATAAGGGTCAGATTGTTTCCTATTTGTGACTCATCTCGGCTATAGAAGAAAGCAAAAAGATTTGGTTTCCTCGTTTTGAAAAAAGAGATTAACTGAGGACATGGTAGAGGTCTAGAAAAACATAGCTGACATGGAGTAGGTAGCAAGGGAATGATTAGTAATTATTTTTCATTAGATAGAACCATGGGGCACTCAATAAAACCATCCAGCAGCAGGTCAAAGACAAATGAAAAAAATCCACTGGCACATGTAGTGCCTATTTGTATTGCAGGACCTAACATCCTGTTATTTTATAAAATCCTGATTTGTTTGGATGCCCAAAGTATAAATAAATTCTGAAAGCTGCTAGATGGCTTCCTAGAAGGAAAGGTCTGTTAAGGACAGTTAGACAACATTACATAGATGCAATTTCTAGATGAGAAAGTTTCTAAACTAAAACTTGCTGGAAATTGGAGAAGTATCTTGGAAAAAATATGAATCCAAGATTGGTTTTATGACTTTTTCTTTACTACCAGTGCTGTAGTAGAAAGACAACACATCAGATGGGGTGTATGTATATAGTACAGCTGTTTATCTTCTATTTCATCAGAATGACTATTTACAAAAGCTATATATAGTCAGAAATGGGAAATTCTATTAGAATAATTGGTACTGAATGTTTCCATGAGAACATCAAACACTCAAAACCAACACTATTTCTCCCTCAGAGAAAATCTATGGATCTTGAATCATAAAGAAAGTTCAAAGTTTTAAAGCTGGAGGAGTGGAGACATGAGAACAATAGAAATTTATACAAGTGAGGGAAAAAATGGAGAACTCAATGAAGTAGCCCTCCTGTGAGGTTGAAATCTGATCTCCAGTAAAATTGTGAGCTTTTCTGTTGTTTGCAGCATTGTTTTCATGTGCAGGATTAGATTTTGCAAGGAGTCCATAGGGCAAAATGACATTTTCATATGTGTAATTTTTCTCCCTCATCAGGGGTAGGAGGAAAAATTAGACTTTTTTTTTTCCAAAAGCTGATTGAACTCAGAATTTGGTCGTCAAATCATATAAACTCAGGAAATGCAGAGAAATAAGAGAAGAATAAAGAATGGAGCGCTCATGTACAACCAGGCATTTTTCTTCACATTGTTTCTAAAGGTGATGCCAAGAAATTTAAGACAGGCTTAAATCAAAGTGTTGCCTTAAGCATCAGCATTTAATTTCCTTCCAGCTCACATCCCAGCCAGTGCCAAAGATAGATTAGGAATTTGATCAACAAGAGACCTGATTTCCATTTTGATAAGGAACTATAATTACTAGAACCATCTTGACAAATAGGTACTGTAAGAGATTAGTATTGCTGGAAGAGAAATTTGTTTCTTCAGCTACAATAATGAACTGGTTTTACTGGCTGTAGAGGCACTGGTTGCCTCAGTGCCTCTTTAACAGATTTTGGGAAAAGCCTCTTCAAATTGTACATGCCCAGGAAAGTTGATAATGTTCATCTCCAACCACAGGAGAACTAGATTAATCATTTCAACCTAAAAATTACTGCATATTATTCAGGTACATACTAGAGATTCTTTATATCCCCACTGAGTCTTGCAATTTTAGAACGTTGTTGTTTAAAGGTGGTGATTATTTGTAATTTTTGGTATCAGACATCTTACTGAAATTTAAATCACATTACCAGGTATGAAGATCTAATTAGTGTCTCAATACAATGCAATATCAAGTTAATTGGCCCAGATACAAAGGACAGCTTTGCTTCCATTTCATGTCTGTATACCTTTAAATCTTTTCAGAGTCTAAAACTTAGGCATAGCAGTAGATATTTTATTTGGGTTTCTTTCAGCATATTTCAACTGAAATGTTTCAGATTTTTTTTCTTGGGAGGATGGGCCACATATACTTTTTTTTTTAAGAGGGAATCCTAATAAATTCCATCAGATTTTTTTCATGGGATTTTTTGCCCCCAAAGACCTGTATCCTGGTGCCTGTGCCCAGGCAGAAGGATGTATGTATATACTCCTTGGAAAAGGAAGAAGTTCTTCTAAAACAATTTTTTTCAGCTGCATTTCTCTATACTCCTGTGATTTGCATTGTATCAGGCCTCATTCATGTCAGAAAAGCAGCAGGAATAGCTTTTATTTTCCAGCAGAAATTTCCATATGGGTCAGCCTTTTTGATCTTGTAATATTCTGCAGCACTGAAGAACAAACTCAGACAAATTATCATCAACACATGGAAGCTGGAGATAGATGACTGGAAGTTTTTTGGCCCATTTTTTCTCTTATTCAGCCCAAACTACTTTATTTTTAGATTATGCTACTTTGTACCCCTTCCATAAATACTCCACTCTTCCCTTTGATTGCAAGTTCATAATTAATTTATATTAACACATTTAAATCCAGAACAGGCACTCATATAATGATTTGCAGATTTTAATACTTCTTTGCCATCTCCTCTCTCTTCCTCCATCGATCATCTACCCCACTATTTCTTCCCAGAATTAATAAACTTTAATCCAATTGGTAAAGCCCTAGATAAGCTTCATGAGCAAAAGTTACAGTGCTGAGCCCAAATTTCCTTTTTCTTGTATCTTGTGCTAATAGATCCAAGAAAATAATAATAACTCATGAACTAGTGTTGTTCATGAGTTATTATTATTGTTCATGAGTCCTGTGTCCTTCAGATCCAGTGCTCTCAGTTCCTCTCCATTTATTCCAAATAAATGTCCTGTAGCCACCAATTTGATGTATTTGATTTGCCTGACCTAGAAAACAACTCCTCATCCACATGCTACCTGCAGTTTCTGCACAACCCAAGGGTGCTCCAGGCTGTGAACACAGGCTGGGTCCAGTTTTCTTGTTCAGGGGGGATGTGACATAGCAAGTTGCTCACAGAGCCTGCAGAAGAGTGTCTAAACACCAGATTTACTCTAAAAACTGATCAAGAAATTATACAAAGCTAAGGCTTGCTAACAGCAAGGACTGCAAGCAGTTCCTCTCCTCAGCATTTTTCCACATTCCACAGTCCTCAACTTCTGGGCAAGCAGCTTCAGCTTTGTTCCACCCAGCTCCAGGCCAGATCTCTACCTTCTCACTCTCCCCAGGAACTGGTCATCAAACAACTCCTTTTCTAAAAAAAAACTGCCTTTTTCTACCACATGGCTTTCCTTGAGGACTTCCATGCTTTGCCAGGTAATGCAAGGCTTATTACCTGCTCCTCAGATAGGAGACAGAGTTATTCAGATTACTTTAACTAGAGCTTTGTTTATTTTCTCCACAGAAAATATTAAAGCAACACCCAAAGATCCAAGGTTCCAGTCAAAAGTAATTTATTACAACCCTTTCTGCTTTTGCAGGTATGTATTTTTCATCAAGCCCCATCAAAGCAGCAATTAATGCATTTCTGCCCTTTTTTGGCCCATCAGAGCAGCACAGTTACTACATGCTGGTTTCCAAACCCAGATGCACCACTTTGTCATACCAACCTTACTTTGATTTTTCCAGCTCACATGAAGAAGTAGCTCTTGATAACTGGGTCAACAGGAGGACAACGTTTAATTACAGTTCAGAGTAGTCTTGATCATATGTTTCCTTCTCTTTGATGAAACTCAAATAAGATCAAAGACCACAGGTCTTCTTTTCTGCCATATGGACCCTGTACTGAACAGTTGATTAAAAGTCTTTTTGGCATTAAACAGTTGGCTCCTTTCCGAATATAAAAACAACTTTTGCAGAACTAAAATTTTCCACTAAGAAAACTTTCTGTTTACAATTAGAACAATTGAAATATTATTTTCATTGTACTTAATGAAGAACATACTGAAGTTCAACTTCTTCCAAGTTACCCAAAATGTTTCATTCTGAAGGATTTCTACAATTAACTGCAAATGCCCATTGCAGTGTCTTGTATGATAGAAATTAGTGTCAATCTCCATTCTTTCTTAATGTCTTGGTATCTGTGACACAATTCAGTGCATTCTTTACTTCAAAAACATGAATGTTTCATTGTGGGAGCCATAGGATTTTCATAGCATTATGGAAAATGTGTCTGACCAGAAAATTGTGCTTTATAATTATGCTTTTGAATAGCATCAGGTTATTCAAAAGTAACATCCAAGATGCAATGCACAATGTTGGAAAAGCTTCATGTGAAAAATCACACTAAAGTCTTTTTTTTTAATTAAGAATTATTTTTTCAGATAATATGACTTGGTCCTATGAAGATATTAATATGATTATTGTACAGTGCAGCAGCATTCACTGGTTATAGAATCAAGTTCTGTTAGCAGTCACAACAAATTGACTCCAAGTGGGGCTGCACTACCTCATTTAAACCCAAAATTTGGTCTGTGTTACTGTAGTTTCACAAGAAGTTAGAGCAAACTGTGTTTCCCTTGCTCAAAGTCAAGCTGCTTTGTTTTCACACAAATTTTTAGCACTTCCAGAACAAAATCTTAGAGGGAAAACCCTTCATATTTGTATTTTTAAAAGTGCCTAAAACTTGTATAAAGATCTGATGTATATTTAATATGAATATTTTTCTCTGAGAAGAAGATGCAAAATGAGATATTTCTTTCAAAATCAGGATTATTCCTGGTTACTTATTTAACTCTTTGTTCTGCTGGCCAATTACAAATTGTTTTGGCAGCATCACACAATCAAGTATTTGTAAAATTTTATACTGCATCACAGTACAAGGAGTTTTTTGTGCAAGTACCCAAATTAAGCACTTGCACATTCAGGAAGTACTTACCATGGTAATTCTTAATCCATAAGTACCAAGAGATTTTACATCATGGAATTTTCTTCTGTTAAAGGGTCAGATTCTGTCCCTGCCTAAAAACCACTGATGTATGTGTGATACCAAGCTTGGCCCAGCTGAGCTGCTGTGACTGATGCACTGAAAAATAAAAGCAGATAAATTTGATTATCAAGGTGATGAGATGGTTGTCTGATCCCTGGGCAGGTGAGCTCTTGCCCTTGACTTTAGGAACAGGCTACCCAAGGAAGTGGCTGGGTCACCATCCCCGGAGATATTTAAAAGATGTGTAGATGTGACACCTGGGGATGTGGTTTTGTGGTGGGCTGGCAGTGCTGGGTTAATCACTGGAGTCCATGATCTCTAAGATCTTTTCCAACATAAATGATGCCATGATTCTGTGACTTCAGATCTCTGATGCACAAACCACCCCCCAGTCTATGCCCAGCACAATTTTAAATGTCTCCCTCGTGGCATCCCTCGATTTCTGCTTCACCAAGGTAGGACCAGGCTAGCTGAGAGAAGACAAACATTTTTCCTAAAGTATCCACCATAACCTCATCCTCTCCAATGAGGACTCTCATCCCCACTTCAACTGTGATATCCTGTAAAGGGTCTTTTGCTGCTACACAGTTTTATGCAACAGGCAAAGAGACCGACAGGCATCACTGGGAGCATCAGCAAAGGCTTTCCTGGGGCCTGACACCTTCCCTGTGCACTCCACTGCCAAAATGAATTTACAGCAAAGGCATTTGCAGACATCTCCCTGGAAAATCAGGAGAAGGGAGCCAGCCATGTGACAAACCCATCAGAGAAGCTGCCCCAGTCCCAGGCTGTCCATCATCCCTTCCAAAAGGAAGCAGTGCCACTCCAGAGGATTGTTTCTGGCTTTGTTGGGCTGGCGTCAGAAGCTCCCCACCCTTCTGAGTTTAAGGGTTGCAGAAGCAAAGCCCAAACGTTTGACAATTTATAAAAACAAGGTTACTTTGTTTTCCATCCTAATTTCTCATTGCCTCGGCTGCTCTGCTGGCAGGCAATTCCATGAAGATACGGTCTGATAAACTGACTTTGAACACTGAATCAATTGTGTGATTTAAAGCAAGAGCCCAAACTCAGCCAGCAAGTCATAAAGCAAAAATTCATTAGAAAGGGAGCTGCAGTAAGCCACTCTAATAAGGGGCATCCTAATAGTTTTATGTTCAAAGCAGCCTTTAATGATAAATAATACTGTGTTTGAGAAGTAAAGAGACTGAAATAATTGTTTATGAAATTGCAATATATAGTTAATTTAGAAGAAAAGAAAGACTCACAGACATGCTGATTTTTAAATCCTTTTCCACAGAGCTGCCTGATACAAAGGCCATGAAAGACTGGTTGTTATTAAGTGAGATCACTCATGGCATTTCTTTTCCTCTTTCTAGCCACAGAAAAGGCAGTAAGAAAAATTAGACTGACAAATCTTCCCCTAGATGGAAAGAAAAAGCAGAGCAAAAGAAAATCCATCTGTTCTCACTTGTGGAATTTCATGTTATCCCATATAAGGCCAAGTTTATGCAGCATATGCATCAAAAATCCTAAAACCCTGGGTGTTATAAAATCACCAGGACAACTGCCAAATGCCAGTTTCAAGGCATCTGTAAGAGGCTAAGACAAAATTCAGGGCACTTTGGGATTCCAGCACATGGTAAGCTGCACTAGAATAAATGGCACAACAGATTAATATTTCATGTCTCTCAAACTAAGGCATCTGTTTTAACAGGGGAGAGACCCAGCAGAAGGGACAGGCTAATCAGCTGAGCCTCACTGCCAGCAATGGGACGGTTCAGTGCCCTCTGACCAGTGTGTGCCCCCCAAACATTCCTGCTCTGGGTAGACATGAAGAGCAGGAGACTCAGAGCCCCATCCAACCTGAGCTGGAATGTTTCCAAGGATGGGGCATTCACCACCTCTTTGGGCAACCTATGCAAGTGTCTCCCACCCTTATCTTTTCCTTTTATCTTGTCTGAATCTACCACCGTTTCCCTTTGTCCTGTCACAACAGGCTCTGCTAAAAAGTCTGTCCCCCCCCCCCTCTGCTGCAAGGCACAGCAGAGAGGGGGCAGGTGTCCCTCCATCCCTCAGACCACTTTTCATTGCTACTCCCCAAATCCAAGTCCCCAGATTTCTAGGCTTTGGAAAGAACAGCCAGTGCCACCACATGAAGACCAGGAGACTCAGAGCCCATCCAACCTGACCTTGAATGTTTCCAAGGATGGGGCATTCACCACCTCTTTTGCAAGTGTCTCACCACCCTTATCTTTTCCTTTTATCTTCTCTGAATCTACCCTTTCCTATTTTAAACCAAATACCTCTTTGTCCTGTCACAACAGGCTCTGCTAAAGAGTCTGTCCCCCTCCCTGCCTGGCTGCAAGGCACAGCAGAGAGGTGGCAGGTGTCCCTCCATCCCTCAGACCACTTTTCATTGCTACTCCCCAAATCCAAGTCCCCAGACCTCTAGGCTTTGGAAAAAGTGCCAGAGAAATGATGATAATTTCTTTCATGCCAGTGTTACAGTGTCACTATAGGACATGAAATAAAAAAACTTGGACACTGGAATCTCCAAGGTAAAAAGGTCATTTAATTTCTGACTCCAACATTTATAGATTTTCAAAAGTGACAGTGGATTGGAGGGTGACAGTGCCACCTCTCTAATGACACTGGACAAACCAACAGTCCATCAAATTTCTCTTCCTCCAGAAAAGAATGCAGAACAATAATTATTTAGGAAAAAATGCATTAAAAAGTCTATTACAAGAATGTAAACATCAAAAAGCTTACAAAAACTTAAAAGAACAGAGCAACATTACAGTACTGACCAAGACAGCCTTCTCTCTGCTGACAGGGCTAAAGCCCCTGGGTGGGAGCAGAGGCCCACTGCAAACTTTGGGTTTCTAGAGCAAGACAATGGCCACAGGCCCTTAAAGAACAGGCAGATGTTGCTGTAGTGCCGAATGCAGTCTCCACACTGTCATCTAGTGGATTTAGTGGTGATAGCCAGAGCTCAGTTTAATACTACACTGTAATTTCACTGAACATAACTGCAGCATAAAACTTTTTTTTTTTGTACTTTCTGCCTTTTCTCATCCAGTTCTCCTGGGATTTCTCCTTTTTGAATCGTCCTTTTACAATAACTTTATTCTCATCATTTTAAACCTTTACTACAACAATGCCTTTTTCTTAGGGCTACTGTAATTCCCAGGCAGGCTATTTCTCCACTGCTGGCCAGTGACTGCAGAGTGTATTTCCCTTTCTTTTAGGAGACTCTATCCTTTCCTTAAAATAGAGTAGAAATAAGTTTCTTGTGTGTCAGGGCAGTATAAATGCCCTTGGAGATTTATTATGAGTAAGTGCCCTCTGATACCCCTCCAGGCTTCAAAGACAGCTCTACAGGCTGAGCACTCTGGGTGTCTGTAGCTACACAGTGCCTCTGACTGCCCAGGCTCCAGCCCCACAGCTTGCAGGCTCCTGCTCTGAAAAAGTGCCAGATAAATTCAAGTACTACAAACACAAGGAAAACAAAATTATGCCAGTTATGTTTGCCTAAACCTTACAAGTCTGGAAGTATGATAAACCTGGCAGTGTGCAGGTATGATAAATATTAGCAACGTGGAGTATGACAAGCACCTCAAAATCCTGAGTTCTCCCAGTTCAAGAGGGTCTGCAAGATGCAGCTGTTGGGTCCATGCTCGTGAAGGGTGTCCCACCTTATGTGTCCCGTTTTGTAGCTGTGGAGTCCCAGACAGTGGGGTTTTCAATGCTGATCCTGTTTTGCTACACCTACCTCTTGGTATTTGATTTTCCCTTTCATCCTCTAGGTTGTAGTGACCTGTGACCTTCTGTACTTGCTCATTTCTGGAGCCAGATTGCTCCTCATTCCTGGGGAGTCAGCACTGAGTCTGTCCCAGAGGCAGCCCACTATGGCAGAGGCAGGCCCCTGATGCAGGAAATAATGATGAGGACTTTATGATATCAGAAGGTTAATTAATTACTTTATTATACTATATTATTCTATACTATATGACACTACATCTAAACTGGAACTGCAGAAGCACTCGACTCAACAAGATTTCTTGACTGTCTCCTGACCGACCATCAGGACACAGTTTGTAGAGATTGGTGAGGAAAATAAAACACTTATATTAGAATTTAAGTAATTTTTTTTAGGCAAATAATTTTCTAACATGTTGACGTTATATTGCAAAGGTTCCATATTGTTGTCTCCTTATTGCAAGAGTTTCATACCTCCTTGAGGTTTCTTGTAGGCATCTCCTCTAAGCACTGAATTTGCTGCTTCTTGCAGCAGCCAACTGACTCTAGTTCCCCTCTCACCCAGCCACCCCACTCTTTTATAGCACTCTTCTTCTCATTGCTTACAGCTGTGGCCTGTTAAAGTCAGGCCTGTTCCTAATCTCTCATAATTGGCCCAGCTGCAACTCCTTAGGAGTAAGATTACTTTCTATACTACCTTTATTTTCTTATATTCTATCCCCCTACACTAACACATCCTACATGTTTCAAAACACAGGAGCAGTAAATGAGATAAGAATTGTTTTGATCTCTGCTTCTCTCAGGTCCAGAGAATGTGAATCCCACAGCTGCTTTCCTGAGGAGTCAGCTCCCCAGGCTCACCCAGAGACAACTGACCCCTTCTCTCTTGCTCTGCAGCTGGTTCAAGCATTGGGATTTTGCAACATCAACCCTATGGTCTTACCAGATGTTAAATCAGCAATTAGCTAAATATATTACCTCCAAGTCAGCAATTCTCTCACCATTTTGCAGTTATAGTAAGTGTGTGATTTGGCCAGTCTCTGTCCCACAGAAGAAATGCTAAATATGTTTGTGCTGCTTTGGCAATTTTGTCACTGGCCCATCTCAGCTCAATGGTCCCTTTTCTGTGACCCTCGACTGCATGCAGCTTCTCTTAAAAAACTGAAAGAGAAGGGAAAAGGATTTGTCAGAAGTTGTAAACAAAGGATATGAGGGCACTGACATGGAGCAGAAAGGAGAAATGCAACTTCAAACATTCAGTCTAACAGTTTACAATCCATGCTCCAGAGCAGCTTTTCTTCTCTGCATCTGTGCTTCTGCATTCAGAGGCTCTATCAAAAACCTCTTGGATGAGTGCAGAGGTTATTTTTAATAAAAAAATTCAGTTTAATAATCATTTTAATGAGACTCTGGAAAAAAAAAAAAAGGAGAGGTATCTTCCACAGGCCACAGTATTGATCTATCAGGGAAAGAAACCCATTGCCACATTCATGGCTGACTCCTAAATAAAAGCTGGGAGTGCAGGAATCAGTCAACCTCCTCTAGAGAAACCTGGATTGGCTTCTTCAGCAATTAATTTTCAAGAATTGAGATCGACTCAAATGATGATAAGCAAACAAAGAAGGACAAAGAAGTAAGAGCTAACAACAAGTGCTGGAAATCAAGTCTGTGTTAGACCTTGCTAACAGGTGGCCACTGTCTGGGAGATGACAGCTAATCCACCCTGTCACCAAGCTTTTAACAGAAACTGTCCCTGCTGAAAGGGCCACTGGAGTAACAGAAGCCAGGAGGAGAACAGTGATTTCAGAACAGAATTCCCCTTCTGTATCTTATCATGAGTACACAGACTAAATCTCCCAAGTAAGGTAAGTAGATATACTTACTTTGGTACTGGTGCTTCAGCTCATTTTTGGGAGGAAGCAACGTGACACCCTGCTCTGCATTCACCACTGAGAGCTCTCCAAATAGGTTTGAGTTGTTTTACCCCCACTCCAGGCAGAGCATCCTCCTACTACAGGATGAGACTTGCCTCAGGGAAATTTTAAGTTCATTAATTTCCAGTTATTAAAAACATTTGAGTAGTGATTTGGATTTTTCTTTTGGAAAAAAAGAAATATTTATGCACAGGTAACCCTTTTATACTTAATATTTATTTAATATGAAGTAACCCTCATTTCAGGCCCAGCTTCTCTCCATCACCCAGGCACCTCTCCTCCCCCTCTTGCAATCATTGCACAGTGCAATACACTCAGTTTTTTCACTGAGGCAATGGACAGAGCAGGGCTACAAAAAGACAACAGGGATTTCTTCTTCTGGAATCCCAGGAAGACCTCTGGCCAGCTCCATATAGAAAACAGCGCTTGCAGGTATAGACAGCACCCATGTCTAGTGCTCATTAACTGTGCATTTGGCCCTTCTCCTGTTCCCAGCACACAGAGCAATGGAGTGAGTGAGGTTCTCATCAAAACACTGCACAACAGCTCTCTGCAGTTGCTTATCTCCCTTGCCACAAAGCCTCCCAGGAGTACAGAACAGCTGAAAGCCCCTTGCACTAACCCAGAAGAGTGCCTCCCTCCCAGGCAGCAGTGGAGTTTCTCATCTTACTGCACTTTCCAATCCCTGAGAGACTTTCTCTACACTGTGTATGGCAACTTTTCATCACAGTACTAAATGAGTACAAGTCCACAAAAACAGTGAAATTTACAGAGCCATTAAACCCTAAGAACTTACCATGTGTATTGAATAGTCACCTCCAAATGTTAAACATGTCCATTTCGTCCTATGCTCTCTTTACCATACTCTTTCTATAAAAAGTTTATTTTTGTCATAATGTTTTAAAATTTAAGGTTTAGGGACTCATGCATCTTGTCTGTAGCTGTTTAAGGTCCTATCAGGGGAGAAATTTGCATTGGATGTACTTGCACATCAGAACAGGTTCAACCATAGTTAGCTGCATGAGATGAAGAGCAGAAATGCTGAGAAGCAGCATCAGGCTTCGCTATGGAAAGTTTTTCTTCTTGGCTCCTGTGGCTGCCCATTTATCTTGTAGCTGCTGGAGATGCCCAGAGGTGGAACAGGCAGTGTTAGAGACAGCTGTGTCTGCTCTGTATCTGTCTGTCAAGCCAGCATGGACACAGTAAGGCCTGGTGTTTACATGTGACATTTATGCACACATCCACAGTGCTCATTCCGTGGAGCAGATGGTCTCCAGGCTTTTCTCTGCAGGTACTCCTTGCAGCCCTACCACTGTTCCTTACAGATGTTTTCCTTCCAGCAGCTGTCTGAATGGATAGTGGCCAACTTAGGAGCCACAGCAATTGAGCAGAGAGATTCCAGTATCAGCAAATCAGTGCAGGCACAAGTCACATTAAACATTGTCACAGAGCCAAGATGCACTTCCTGGTATAAGGGAGGAAGGAGACACAGCTGCATCCACTGGGACTCAAAACTGGCATTCTTGCTCATTGGGTGCACAAGATCAGTGAGAAGACTTCTCCAAATATTTAGAATATAAACATCATGGGTCAATGGATCAAATAATTTCCTACTGAAAAGAATTCACTCAAGCATTTATGTCAGCTTCATGTATCATTGTGCAGAACAAAACTCAGATTAAATTCCTGATAAGAACTCTGTTTTGTTTGTACTGGGTACACTTAAGGCTGCAATAAATCTTCCTTCATGCAGGCAGTATAGTACAGGTAATTAAAGAAAATTAAAAACCTTTTCAGAGTTGACAACATTACTACAAAATCCTCCAGTGGCAACATTCCCCACAGACTAATAGTTTGGCATCCAGAGACAGAAACAAACTAATAAACTTGCAACTACAACCAGGAAGATCCATCACTTATTTTAAAGCTGCATTTCATCTGCAAGAATATCTTCAATTCCTATTTAACTAACTGCAATAAGCACAACTTCATATTTTTAGGAAAAAAAGACAAGGTGTAGTCCTCAAAAGTTTATTTCAAGTATAAAAATTGTTCAGTAAGGTATCTACAGGTTTTTTGTTCAGCATAAAGGTTTAATAAGATAGAAAGAATCAAGTACCAAATCTCTGTAAAAATACGATTTGATTTTAAATTTGGAGTAACAGTGAAAAGGCACTTAAACAAAAGATAGCCAATGACAAATACAACTGTTATGTCACAGTGAATGTGTAAGCAAACATAATCTAACACCTTATAAACAAAGAAATTAATCACAGTCTGGCTGAACTCAGCAGCATAATCCAGACAAGAGTGAATTTGAACTCCCTGCACTTCAACAAAAGAAGTGCAAAGAAAGAGAGAAAGAAAAGCAAGAGAAGTCTCCAGTAAACTAAGGGTCTGCAGCACTGTGTTCAAACTATGAACTCAAAGCTCCATTCATACAAGCTCCAAAAAAAGAAATGTAACAAAACTGGGTAGCAGCATAAATACTTCATAAATGCCCCTGGATCTGTATGCTTGCATTGAGGCCTTTATATTTCTATTCCCAGTTTAGAAAAAATAAAGTTTCTACAAAAACAGAAGCAAAACCATCAGACTACCGTAAGTGTGAAACAGAAGTGTAATGCTTTGGAATCCACTGCAGTCCCTTTGCAGCAGAAATATTCTTCCACTGCCAGCAATGGAAAGTATAATAAGTAGAAGTTTTTGAGAATCAGGAAAGAAAAGAGGCTATAACAGTTTAAATGAGTTTGTTATTTTTCGGTCAAGATTCAATGAGCTACTCTATCTTAGGAAAAAAAAAAAAGAATCAAAAAATGCCAAAAGAAACAATATGTTTTAAAACAGCATTTACAGCACCAAAGAATATCTGGACAATAAATACAGAATAAGATGGTAATTATTCACAAATATGAGGAAATGGGGAAGGAAATTTTCCTTTACCCACCAGAAAACTGTGGGCTTTTACAATTATTCAGCAACATGAAGTAAACAGAAAAAAAAATCATCTTAGTGTTGGCATTTTTTTCTCAGTGACAGTAAGACCTTTGATACAGGAGTGCTATCAAGACTTTTGCATCTTTTTTTCCAGATACATTTTCCTGTAGGTCTGAAACATCTCTTTTGAGCCTTTGACAGGAATGTGAAGAGTCTCTCCATCTCCTCCCAGGATCTGTATAGCTGTATCAAGGGGAATACTGTCCTCAGCTGCAAGACAGACAAGCATGTTAAAGCAAGAGTCACAAAGGACTCCACTCCTTACACATGTGGTACCTAAGACCTTCCAGTGACAACAAAGGATGCCACAAACTTCCTTCCTAAAGCACCAGGCACTTCAGATTTAAAACCATCTCCAATGCATCTTTCAGCACAAAATGGCTATTTGGGTGTCTTCACAGGAGAGATTTCTGGAGAGTATTAAGAAAGGGATGATAGAAAACATGCATTTGTGAAAGGAAGAGAAGAAGCAAGAGGAAGGGCTAAAATGATGGCAGACACCAAAGCCCAAGGACACAGGCAACAGCAACAAAAGATGCAAAGGATGCAAACTATGTTACTTGCAACACCACAACAACACAAGTACCAGCATGCAAGCCCTCTGTTCTAAAGCTAAGAAGCAGATGGCAAGAAGGCTACAGAATGCATTCTGTTTCCTGTTATACCACTAGAAAAACAAAACTCGAGCTAGAGAAGTACCTAAAGCAAAGAAACAAGGACAGCTAGGAGCAACCTCACCCAAGATTTACAAAAGGATGGAACAAACAAGATCCTGAGATGAAAGTTGCCACTGTCGTGACAGTTGATTCCTAGAGGGTATAAAAGACCATCCAAAAAGCAATTTGCCATTCAAGAGAAATGAGGAAGATGTCATAGTGGCCCCACTTTTCCTCTGGGTGTCACACAGATTATCTTGTCCAGACTACTGGGACACACAGGTCCTGGAACTTGTGAGCACAGGTGTTATGTGTGGACAGCAGCAAAGTACTGTGAAAGTCAGATTTATTTTAAAAATCACTTTCTGGTTTTGCACTAGATTCTGCTACATCACTTTCTATATTTTAAAGCATGAAAGAGTCTTTATATACAATTGAAAACTGTATTTAAATGTTACTAATGCTACATCCAAGTTAATGGCACAGAAAAATTTCTACATTTCCAACAACATATTCATAAAGCAATAAAAAGCTATACAAATCTTTGAGACTTTTAAGTCTATTCTATGGTATCCATTTAATCAGGAGAATGAGTAAATAATAATTTTAAATACTTTATTAAGGTTTACTACTGTAAAGGAACTTTTAAAACCAAGCAAAGAGGATTAAACTTGTATTTCAAATGGGACATTCAGAAGTCACTTCACCTGCAGAGATCTCTTCCAGTTTCTTTTGTTTCACTGGTTCACATTTTAACCAATCTTCTTTTTTACTCTTGACACCTAAAAAGAAATTTTCAAACAATGTTTCTGAGGTTCCTTTATCACAAGTTTTGGCCTCTATTCAGCATTAAATTCTAACACATATACTAGCACATGCAAAAGGAAATTTCCTTTGGGTATGAAAATGACTTCCAAGTGATGATATATACAGCTTGAGAAAAATAAAATACAACATTTGATATAAATATGCTTCAGAATGCACCATGTAAAATGTTGAAAAATGGGGTAGGGGAGAAGAGCAGGAAAAATGGATGTTTAAAGCAAAGATGGCAAAGATTATGGGGGCTATGGGCAGGATACACCTGGCCTAAGCCCACTCTATTCCTCAATGGCACAAATGATCTCTCCCTCCTCTGCCCAGCCAGACTGATGCACAAGCAGGAGAACAGGGAATACAGATCAGATCACCTTTGATCAGATCACCTCACTACTCCAAGGGAATCTACTTTCTACAAGTTCTACAAATACTTTAGAAAGCCTTCTCCCAAAGTTACTTGAAACTGCCATGCTCTTAAGTATTCTAATTTCATTCACTAAGACTTAGAGAAAATTGAAGGAAAACTCCCATGTTCTTTTTCAGCTGAAGACACAGCTGTGGTCTGTCAGAGAGCAAGTTAGGATATCTCAGCCTTCAGCCTCCACAGTCCCATGTTTTCACTGTCTGCAGCTTTGTGCAACATGAATTCAAAAATGAATACGTAGTTTTTATTTACAAATGAATATTTAAGAGAACATCATACCTTCTACAACGACTTTATCTCTTTCTGGAGAATTCTTTGCAGCTAAGCTTTCTTCACCAGGGGCTGGATTCCTGAACTCTATCTCTGGACACAGCTTGAACTCAAGGACTTCCTGTTTGCATGATTTCTCAACTGTCGAGACAGACACATCTTTTTTTGAGTTGCTGCTTTGTGGCACTTTGGTGGCTCTATGCCAGACAGGTCTGACAGGCGATGTCTCTAATTTTGTCAGACAGATGCGCTCCTGTGCCGTACGTTTAAATGCCACTCTGTTCAGGTAGTGCTTTTTGGGTTCCTTTTGAAGATGCAGCTTTAGTCTATTTCTTCTGTTTAGGTATAGAAGATTTTTATCAGGAAACATTTTCTCAGAGCACTTGTCTTTGTTTTGACCATCAAGATGTCTTTCTTTGCTAGAAAAGAAGTTTTTAGACATGCTAGAAGATCGAGCCCTTTTTCTCTGCAGTTTAAGCACAGAGCAATCTGCTAAGGAACTCCTTGGTTTCCAACCATTTTCTCCATTCAGTTTTTTAGCTTTGTCAGCATTTAGCAAACAATTGTGTGCAAGCTGCTTAGAACTCTTTCCTTCGGATTGTTTCAATCCTTCCTCTTCCAGCTTTGCTTTCTTAAATTCTCTCTTCCCAACCATATTTTCCTTCATCTTCCGTTTGTATGGCTGCTCTTGCAAAGGATGAACTTTCACAGATTTATGCTGAGAATATTTTGTGTGTCTTGATTTGAAGTCTACAGAGCTACTATCTGAGAATTTTACAGCATCGGCTCGGTAACTACTCAATTTTTTGAGTTTCATTTCTGCTGGTAATTTTGTTTGCACTTTGACGCTAATTCCTACATCTTGCCTAAGCACCTCCTTTTGTTCCCTACAGTTTTGTTCTTCAGCTGAGTTCTCTTCACAAGTTTTAATTTTTTGTCCTTGACTGACTTCAGAATGCTTAATTTCAACCATTTCTGACTTCACAGACTGGAGAATGTCTGTTTTGGATTTTATGGTCAGACCTGGTTTGGTTGTATCTTTTGAAAGGGACTCAGTTTTGAAAACTCTCTCCTTCTTTACGGACAACTTTGCCCTGTTGTCTGCATATGTATGATCAGCTTTTTCTGCTAACTCTTCGGAGGCTGTCTGGTGCTCTTTTTTGAAAGAATTCAATTCTTTACTTGACACTTGGGTTCCTTTGTCAATTTGCAGATTTTCCTTCAAACTGCTGCTTTTGCATTTATCAGCATCCTGGTTTTCAAAGGAATTAACTGGTCCAGTTTTTTCCTGCTGTGTTGTAGGCAGTTTGTATTCATTATCCACCTTCAGCCTAGGTTTTTTGTTCATTTCAGAAGTGTATTTGCAAATATCTTTATTTTTGCTAATACTGTCTGGGATTTTTTCAGAAATTGTCAGGTCTCCTCCCACTGCACAGTTTTCCTTTTTCAAGGCATCAGATTGACTGGATTTTTCTTCTGTCTCTGCAGAGTCAGTATTTTCAGCTTTTGAAAGTTGACAACCATTTTTCTCTGAACCAGATGTTTCTAATTGAGAGGGATAATGTGATGTTTTATATGCTACAGATGGACCACCCGTTAAAGAGCAATCTTCACTTTTTTCACTGGGCTTAGAAGTTTCTTGTGGGGTTTTTTCCTTCTCACATAGATCCTGACTAGGCTGGACACTGCCTTCAAGCTTGTCCTTGTCAGCTGAAGCCTTTTCTGACTGCTGACTCACTTCTCTCTTGCTGTCACTAGAGGGACACTGGTTGTGCCCAGGAGACAGTTCTTGAACCTGTTCAGATCTTAACACTGCAACTTTAGTCTGATTTACTGGGTCCTTCAAATGAGAATTCTTGTCACAAATTTTAACCTCTTTTTGAGACTGGTTCTCTGTCCCTTCAGCTGCTGAACGATTTTGTGCTGCTTCTTTTGTTAGCATATCAGCACCTTCAATGCCATATGGAAACTCCTTCACTAGAGCAAGCAGCTGATCTTTTAGATATTTGCTAGGCTTTGCTCCAAAAAAGTTCACCTCCTTTTCCATGCTATTTTTACTGGGCATGGAATTTTGTTTACTGTGGTCTCCTGAAACAGCAGGTGCATTTGTTTTAGCAGTTATGCTGATAGAGGAATCCAGTGAATTTTGAGCTAACTTCTGATTTATCTTAGCAAGACTTTCTAGGGAATTTTCAGGATGCTTGGCAGATGCCTTGAATGACGTGCTTTGTTCAGAGGTAGAAACTGCTTTAGGAGGATTGCCACTGCTTTCCTTCTCCGAATGACTTGATGACTCTTCCAACATTTTTAGCAGCAAGCTCTCTCTTTGGGCAGTGTTATTGCTCAGCTCAGTTTTACTCAAGTCCAGATGTTGCTCCTTTTGCCTTGCACCAGATGTGTTTCCTTCTGATGCCTGTGTCTCATAGACTGACTTGAACATGCCTGCTATTTGTGGGTTATAAAATTTATCACCTTCAACAAGAGAGCATACACTAGAAATACAAAACATGTCATTTTCCAGCAGAGCTGTGGATGCATCCCCTGCCTCTAACACAGCTTGCTTGTCTTCATGGTCTCTTGTACCTTCTTGAGAGATTTGACTACAAATATTTGTGCCTGATTCAGGAAGAGGAGCCTTGTTTTGTAATCCAAGCTGCAGATTTTTTCTTGCATCTTGTGCAGATTGGCTAACTTTGCTTTGGTTTTCATCACCTGCTTTGATCTGTTGCAAATGTGAGTCCACTATTTGTTCCAGAACACAATCAGTGGGTGATGACCAACCGTTTTCTACAGTTCTTTTGACAGTACTTGCCACACTTAAACCATTTTCCCCCTCTTCTTGCAAGCTACACGTGCTCCCCGAGTTGATCACTGGATAGGTTTTACCTTCAGGTGTTGGGATCTTGCCTGCCTGCTCACTTAGTGCTCTTTGTTCACTAAGTACTAAAGGAGAGACAACTGCAACTTGAGGTTCGAAATTTTTTATCAAACTGGAAGTCAGTGTATCAAGCTTTTGTCCCACAGAGGTAGTTGTTACAGGCAAAACAGCCTCATCCATGCTTTCCAGCACATGATTTTTTTCTCCCTTCTTTGTGTTTTGGTCAGAGGGTGAAATCTGATTTGCTGTGAGGTTTTCATTTGACTGTTTATTTTCCACACTAACAGATTCTGGTGGATACTTCCCCCACAGGCGCAGGCACGCAACCACCTCTTCCATAGAGTAACTACAATTGCTCTGGCTACAAGATGCATTTTCAGTAAATGGTGGTTTTTTCTGAGCTACCTCAGTCTGCAACTGAGCATCACCAGATGCAGCTGTTTGTGATGCAGCAGAGTTTGTGTGAGCCACAGATGCCTGCTCACCTTTCAGACCTTCTATGTTCTTCTCACTGGTGTCTTTTAGCAAGCTTCCACCCGAGACAGACGTATCAAGCAGCGGTTTTTCACTACACAGGAGATTTGTCAGTATTTTATCAGCAGTAGCACCAGCTGTCTTCTCTTTCAGTGCATTTGTGCTGCTCAATACAAACTGAAGAAATGATGAGTTCTCAGGGCCAATTTGCAGAGTCTTTGATGCAGCCCTGACAGAGCTCCCTGCTGGAGTAAAACACGAAGCACTGTTCGAGGAAGTCACAGTTCCTGGAGAAGAGGCCAAGGCATGCACATCCCTTTGTTCCAAGGTGCTCTCAGGATTATTAAATTGAGCTGGGACTTTACTCTGAGAGGGAACAGGAGTGAAGCTTGATGAAAGACTTCCCTGCTTCACCTGAGGGCTACTTTGAGTCACCTCCAATCTTCTGTTATCAGCACTGGCTAGGTTTTTGTCATTTCTTTCTTCATGTGGAACCATGAATGTGGGCCTCTCTGTCCTCACTGCTTCAGATGGGGGAGGCTGTACATTTTGTTTGGGCATACATGGAAGACAATTAGAAGGAGAACATGGATAACCAGGAGGAAGAGAACGAGTATTTTTTTCATTATAGATTTTTTTTTTATAATTATGAACCGTTTCAAGCAGGACAACCCTTTTTTTAAGACATTTCAGCTTTTCAGCTTCCCAAGCTAGTCTCTCCTTTGTAATTCCTCCATGTGTTGCTGCTGCTGAGGAAATCTGAGCATTAATAGGCCCATTTATCAAACCACTAGTCTGGCTCTCCGGAACTGAAGCAGGATCACTCAGAGGCTTTGAAGAAAGAGCTTCTATTTCTTTCACAACATCAAGCAGTTCTTTGGGAATGCCAGGGGATGACACAGAACTTTCACTAAAAGACCGATTTACTGTCACACTTCCACTTGGATTACAGACATTCCTGATGGATTGACTGACTTCTCCAGGTTGCTGCTTCTGACAGTGTTGCTGAATACTGTTAAACCCAGGAGCATTTTTTGGGTCCAGTGGGAACCTCTGCTGGGTAATGTTGTATCCATTGGGTACATTTTGAATTTCCTGTGGTACACCCATTGAAGATTGTGCTGCAGGCCTTGAAACACAGCTGGCAGGCAACAAAGATGGTGCAGAACATCCTCTAGGAGCTTCTGATGCCATCTGACTCTGCTGAAATTGTGGCAGCTGTACAGTTGTCCCAGTATTTTGATTCACCGAATACAAAACTTTACACTGATTATTGGAATTAAACATTTGGGGTTGAACATGTTGCCCGGAAGTAGGGAGAGGAAAAGAATTATTCTGGGGATGAATGCCACCTTGATGTAGTGTTGCAAGTCTCAGGGAATTATGCTGCAGCATTTCTGGCTGCGCCGTGTAAGCGTTGGTGTTGGTGTACTGGGGCTCCCCAAGCACATTTCTTAAATTATTCCCTGTGTTCACTTGGGAGGACAGGGGGGGCACATTCCTGCAGGGATAACTGTAGGGATTAGACACTGGCCAAGAAGTCGGAGTCATCTCTGGCCGCAAAGGGGAATTCTGAAGGGGAGGTTTCAGACCTGTTCCATACATCGGCTGATGTCTTTTAACTGAGAATTTTGACATAAAGAAATTATTACCAGTTACAGATGCTCCTGGTGAGGTTTGATCTGAAGTTTTGAATCCTTCGGCATTTACAGCAGGGAAGGCAACATTGATAGTTGGCATATACACGATTTGGTTATTTTCAGCATGAGTGCATGTATTTTTAGAGGAGTTGGGATTTGTCTGAGGAAAGCCATGTCCATTAGGAAGTAACTGAGTGAAACATGCTCCTTCACTTTGCAGGTTTGTATTTGCATCAGCATTCTGGACTGGCCTTACGTTCCAGTCCATCTTTTCTTGTTTTCTTTTTCTTCAGGCAAAACCAAAATGCTGAAAAAAAATTTTATAAAAAATTACAACCTTTTGATCAAGACCTATTTCACTTACTAAGAAGTGATTTAGAATGCATCATGAACAGAACTGTTGAACCTAAATTGCTGGGTAGGAGAGCAACCCCAGCACAACCTGTGGACATCAATGCTGTCAATGTCAAGTTGCATAAATTGTTTCCCAGAACACAGTAAAGTATAAAAAGAGAAGCAACTAACAACTCTATTGACAATCTAATGACTAACAAAACCTTCACATTATTCTGCTAATTCTATTATCTATCAACCTTTTAATTTAACAATAGATTGCTGCATTTGCCTTCTTCATGCAAAAACAAAGGGAAAAAAACCCCAAGGCACATGTGTAACACAACATAGCAATACTTAAGAGCTGAACATAAGAAACACCTATAGAATAAGATACAGGCCAAGATTTTCAGACAATAAGACTTAATCTCAATTACACCTTTAAATGCAACAAAATAAATGGAAAAAATTAATTTGGGTTTAGTAAAAATCTCTCATAATAATGTGACCCACTAGTTTAATTTTGAGAATGTGCCTCTAGTGAGCTACAAGAAAAGAGCCCCTAATTCTGTTGGTACCATTAACTTACTCAGCTGGGAGAAGGCATGGAGAAACATGGAGATGACAGCAGCACTTCTGGAGCTGACAAAGCCACATATTCCTAAGCCTTCATGTGCCATATTCCAGAGTGCACATGGATTACCAACTGTAGGACATGGGGTTATAATTATCAGAGTGGTTAAGGTTTATGCTCACCAGAAGGCCCTGGACAGAGGCACAGCTGCAGGACAGAGACATGGAAGTCAATGGAAGAGGGAGAGGAAGTTAGGAGCAAGGAGAGAGCCAGTGAATGACAGTTGGGAGTGAGATTGGGATTGGCTGGAGGAACACGTGGACAGCACATGAGCAGGAAGCTGATTGGATGGTAGAGCACATGGACAGCACCATGGCAGCTGAGCCAGCCAATGGGTGCCTTCTTTCTGTTAAATTCTGTTAGGTCTCGGTTTGGTTTCAGTTATGTCAGGTAGAGATTTAAGGTATAAAAAGGGTGTGATTTCTATGATAAACTGATCTCCTTCAGATGCTTAAGGGAGCCTGCGTCGCTTTGCTCCCCACTACTACAGATGGCTGGCCCAAATTGCAACTTATAGGGTGCTGCAGAGTGAGTGGACTGCTCCGGTAAGCAACTCCCACTAGGTCAAGGAACCGGCCAGGAAGAGTCCGGAAAAGGATCTAGGGAAGGATCTGAGAAGAGTTCGGGAAGGAACTCAGGAATTTAAAAGTGCACACACCTCACCTGGAAGGTGAATAGCCCACTGGGAGCAAATATGGGAGGTGGAATATCCCTGGAACAAAGCAGGAGCTTGGGCCAGGTACGGTAGCTCCTACCTCAGCAATCTGTTAATATGGCTGATGTGAAACTAAGCACCCTGCTGGACTGGGTGCCTAATCACGTTTAAGATTTCCCCTTTAATGCACCCCTTCAATCAGAAACCTGGCAAGCAGTAGGACAGACACTTTTCACTACATGGGGATAACCATGGCAGCCATTAAAGGAAGTCACGCGAATGTTGCTGATTACACAGCTTTGGAAGCTGAGTCCCCTGAACCTTCAGCGCCACCAGAACCCGAATACAACCCCAAGATTGACCCAAACCTTGCAGAATTGCCTTATCCTGAGATAATCCCAGCCCTGCAGAGCTGCTTTACTCTGATAAAAATCCCTGCATAGCTGGCCCCCTCAGTGCAGAATTCCCACATTGCAAGCAGGCAGCAGGCTCATTCCCTGCCCAAGACAGAGACGAAGTAGTCCAGCAATGGCAAAAATGCAGGAAAGCCACAACAAAGGAGGCAGAATTGGCCTCTTTTGTTACAGCCTGCCCAGTAATATATGTGCCAAACCAACACCCAGCATACTAAGAGCTGGACTATAAGGTAATTAAAGAACTGAGGGCACTGGTAAAAGAAAGCAGTTTATCCTCCAATCCATCATGCTAAACTGCCTAGAACCCATCAGCACTGCATACGTCCTCACACCCCACAGTATTTTAGGAAAATAATTGGAAAAGTATATGTGATTAGAGAAGCAGATGGGTTTCTTTGTAGATGATAAAAGTGGGAAACAGGATATAAAAGTTGGATTTGGCCTTGGGAATGGATGAAGTCAGGAAGACTCCCAAACCAAAACTGGCATCAACTGAAGTTAAGACAACTCCCAGAGCAGGGACTGACTAAATAAAGTTGGGACAATTCCCAGCAGGGAGTGTAAAATAGTGGTCTTATCTATGAAATAAATAAGATTTAATTGGAATACAGTGCCTTACTTAAATAACACCAATCTTAATGCGCATGTGCCACCTGCCAGGTTATTCAAAGGACAGAAGATCATGAGCCTTCCTGTGAAAAGACCACCAAAGAGCCAGAAGACCCCTTGGAAACAAGTGGAGCATGCACTGCGTAGTATAGTGATGTAGATTTTAGGAATCAAAAATAGGAGGAGATTTACAGAAAGTATTAATGAATATGTATTAGCATACAGTATATAAGCTGCATTTGGATCCTTTTGTACATGAGGCAGGGTGGGAAGCCCTCCCCATACCCCGATCGATCGGTTTTGCTTATGCTTTATCCGAACCACTGCCAAATTTCTTTTTTTAACTACTGGATTACATTTGATCATATTATTTTATCTCAATTAAAACCACTGCTAAATTTTAAGTCTGTAGTTTATTAAGTTAGACATATGGGACCTCATCCATAACAAAACTGATTCTAACAGTGAGGCAGTTTGCAGTCTGGCTAACCAATTACTGAGAGCTATGTTACAGCCCAGGCAGAAGCGCTGCAGGACAGAAATCCATCAATCACCATTGCACAGCTGACCAGAGTGCTTTTGCAGTCCCTGCAGCACAGACAGGCTGCCCACGTGGTGCATGTGATATCATCGCTCACCTAGCCCTGCAGGCCCTGTGGTGACTCCTAGGAATGGGTATCAATCCTAATCTTCTTTTGCTAAGATCCTACAGGGTCCAGCGCAGTAATTTGTGCTGTTCCTGGACAGACTGCAAGCCACACTCTCCCGGTAAGTCGACAATGAGGCCAGAACTATTCTGTTGCAGCAGCTTGCTTTCATAAACACAAATGAAGATTGTCTACAAGCATTGCTTGCTGTTCGTAACCCACATCCTTGTGACATAGCAGATATTGGTTAGAGTGTGCTAAAATGTGCTGCTTAAAACACTAACTCTAGCAGGGGGTTTTAGCCACACTCTTCTGGGTTCCGGACACGCATGCAGGGGTCAAGGCAGGCCAGCCCCAGGATGGGGAACGGGGTGAGTGGGGATCAGGATGCTCCTGGTGAGCACATTGGTGGTGCTCAGCTCACTGCAGGTGGCCTGCAGGCCAGCCTCTGCTACAGTCCTACCCTCATGGCAGCTCAGCCCTCAGCACAGCCACAGGCACATCAGGGACTGCCGGGCCTGTCAAGTACAGCAACATCACACACAAAGCGCGGCCTGGTGACAACAGCATGGCCGGCCTGTGGCTGTCACCAGAACGCTTGTCTCGCACATCCACCCACAAGAGGCAGCCAGAGCACAGGGCCACCAGCGGTGAAAGCGGCCTGTGCTCTGGTGAGGCGTGAGGCCACCAGCAGCGGGTGGGGGCTCCCCCAGTGCAGGCCCTGCCATAGTGCAGCTGTCACTGAGGGGCCGGGCCATGCGGGGGGGATGGCACTGCCAGGGAGCTGAGTGACAGCTGGGAGATTGTCCTTGGCTGGAGGAATGCGTGGAGAGCATCATAGGAGTGTGCCCCCCTGCTGATGGAGTGACAAAACTATCCTCTGTCCCCTCAAAAAGAAGCCCAGAAGTCCCTCTCCTCAATTAGGTGAAGAAAGGCACCTCATAGGCCCAGAAAACTTCACCTCAAACTTAAGGATAGCCAATTGGACAGAAGCCAAAAAGTCCCACCTGGGCAATTTAGTAGGAAAAAAAGTGAACAAAGAAAGTAATCGCTTTTGTAAAGTGTTTTACCAGGAGCAAGAACATCTGGCACCTTGCTCGGTTTTTCTGTTTCTTATTTTGCCTTTTAGTAAACCTTTTTGTTTCCAACACTGCAACAGAAGCCATCCTGCTGATTTTTTTGCCTCCAAGAGTAGCTGAGCTATCTTGGATGTGTTAAAAAGCCTCCGAGAGCTTATTAGACCCAGCTCCAGGAGTTTACTATAACACAGCATATGAGCAGGACGCTGATTGGATGATAGGACACATGGACAGCACATGAGCAGGAAGCTGATTGGATGATAGGACACATGGACAGCCCACAAGCAGGAAGCTGATTGGATGATAGGACACATGGACAGCAGCATGGCAGCTGAGTCAGCCAATGGGTGCCTTCTTTCTGTTAAGTTCTGTTAGGTCTGGGTTTGGTTTCAGTTATGTCAGGTAGAGATTAAAGGTATAAAAAGGGTGTGATTTCTACAATAAACTGATCTCCTACAGATGCATAAGGTGTTTTACGTCACTTGTCCCCCACTGCTACAACCAACAAACCAAATGGGTGAGCATGTTATTCTGTAAGTTTTTTAGAGGCCAGTATTTTCAAAGCCAAGCACTATTTCAGCCTCCAAAAATGCACAAAAAAGCCCAAAAGCCCCCAGGACAAAATACAAGAGATAATGTTTGCCTGCATCTTGACAAGCTCTTCCCAGTATGGTCACACCCAGCTAGCACAGAACAAACACCTTGCTTTGTGCAGGGTGTTAGACAGTCTCTAAACAGAATGTTTCGTGCCATTTCTCCCAAATCACCAATGGGAGACTTTCCTTCATGGGCTCTTTTAGATTTTAAGATTCTTCTGATCTCAAATTTGAGAATGAAAAGTATCACTCATATCTAGCCTATAAAAAATGAAAGACCCAGTGTTATAATTTTATAGGTGTTATTTTCAAGATTCAAATACAGCTCTATCTTTCTTCACTCTTTTACTTTCTCTGCTCTCATAAGACACCAATAACAAAAAAAGACAGGAAAACAAAGTGGCATATGAAATTCCTAAAAAACATTAACATCAGTGTCCAGGCAATACTTACAGTGATGCAGGAATCTTAGCAAAGAAAACAGACTTTAGCATCCAAGGTAAACCTTTCAGGCTGCTAACATTGCACTGGGTATTTCCTGAAAAATGATTGGGGATAAAACAAAATCACATCCTTGAATTAGACAAATGCTGAGGAAACTTAAGATATTTACATTTTCTGGGAACATAACTTGTGAGAGAGGCAAACAAGACTAAGATACCAACCATTAGTAACTGTAAAATCTTTGCTAGAAGAGGAACTTTGACTACATGCAGCCCAAAACTTCAACAAGAGTAAAATCCTACCATTGTCACTGTCAAGATCAAAAAAAATTAGGAACCCCTTACAGAAGCAAGGCTGGAGACAAGGGGAGGGGTTCACTGCCATGTTAAGTCCTATAACTTATAATGGATATACCTTGAGGTTCTTGTAAACCATTATTTGAGTTGTATGTTACAGGAATTATTATTAGAGGAACCACACAGGACCATCCCCAAGAATCACCTGGTGTTTTGAGATACACTACACTAACATATGCTCAAAGATAAAGGCCTTGAGATGACCAAGGTCCCCTGACTATTTCCTGGGGCAGTCCCAGAGATTTGGGATTAAACAGAATTAGGCTGGTTATCAATCATTCTTTAGATGTGCCCATGTGCCAAATAAAGTCCTATGAGTTTGTCTTCCATCTGAGGCCCAGCAGCACCCACTAGTTAAAGAGTCCTGGCTCACTTCAGAGCCCACTAGCATGGTGCCCAGCACCACAGGGTCCCAGCTTGTCACTATGGCCTTGAGTTAGAGACAGGAATGAGACAGATGAGAGGCTCGTTTCTTCGAGCAGAATAGCTGAATCTTCATTGCACACAGCTCATTTCATCTGGTATCAGAAGGCACCATGTTGGAATCCAATAGGTCAGAAAATCATTGAGACTCAGTTCATTGCTTGGTAATGGCTAGCGTACATGTCCATCAAATGTTTTTCTTTCTAGGTACGTTTACTTTTTATCTTCACGGACTCTCACAGGATGGACTCGTTTTTGCAGGTGCAAACTGTTTTCTCACAAAAAGAGATTGTTATGCAAACTGCTTCTCATTCTTATGATTCTTTTCTCATGAGAACTCAACAGGCCAGCTTAGCCAGAATAGCAAGGCCTAAACCATGTTTTACAACCTTTCTTTTATAAGGTTTTACCTATATGTACCACCAACTATTTTCTGCTATGCTTGTTCTGCCATCCTGCCTCCTCTGTCAGGATGCAGCCACAGTTACCACCAAACCCCTAGTGTCAGAGTAGCTAAAAACCCCCTTAAGCCTGTGCTAAAGGGTCTTGACCCAAGGAATCTTGAAAGCCTCTTTAGATCCAGGTATTCCAACCAGGCAGCACACAGAGCACCAACATTTGTTTCACCAGCTTTTACCAACAAGCCCCATATTGCTGCATCTTTTCACACCAGGGCTTGAGCAAGGGCCCTAGTGCCCTTCCCATCGCTTCATCAGCCGGAAACCCCCCAGCCCTTGGTTACCCAGACTTACCAGACACACAGTTAGCACACCAGACAGAACCTGGTGATCCTTCTCAGGTGCCATGGAAGGCACACCTTACAGAGACTTTCCATTTGGAAAGTCAATCATCAATGGCATCATCATCTGTGTGTCCTCATGGACAGTCAAAATTCTGCCTTCAGCTGATCACAAGGGAGGGGGAACACTTCTCTCACCCTCTGCAGTAGTCCACAGGTTACAGATGCCCCTTCAGCCCTTCACAAGATCAGTCAAGTGTGACTTCCCTAAGAGCCAGCCAGCCTGAGGATCTGTTTTTGAGAGGTTCTAACCTCTGCTGTGGAGTAACTCCTATACAATTCCAGTCAGGTCTGCACAGCAGCAGTTTATCACTGCATGCAGCTGCAGAGCCATGCACCACAAAGAACAGGCAAGTAACAGCCTCTGCTGAGCTGAACCTTGCCCAGCTGGGTCAGTGACAGAGTTTATATTTATATACCTCTGTGTTACATGCCTTGTTTTTCACGGGACTACAGGCACATGTCAGATAAACAAGATGCAGTAAGCTACCAGAAAGAATGGTAACATACAGATTGCTTCAGGTAAGCTCCAGACAGTACATCCTTTTACAAGTATTCCACCCCAATAATTTGGCCACTCTTACTCAGTGAGGCCATGCTGCAGATATTTCTAACTGAAAGGCGTACAAATGTTTTTTTTTACTTCCACAGACAGAACCAGTCATAGACCAGACCTTCCATGATGCTCCAGGGAAGCATCAAATTACAATCTCCTCGTACTTCTGAATCAAATTCCCCCTACTTTGGGCACTCTGAGAAGCACCTCCCCTCCAGTGACCATGCTGTTAATATGCTGTGATCCTGTGAGCCCCAAAATTCATCGTGTCTCTGTAGAAGGATTCTTAGCAGAACAAGGCCATGCTATTCTCCTACAGGAATTGGACAACCCTGGCTTGCAGATTTGTGGTAGGTAAGGGACAGGCATTCGGAAGATTTCGGGCTGTGACGGAAAATTACAGGACTCCTTCTGCCCCTCTCCCCAGAGATAAGGATCACCCTTGGAATGTAGCCAAACAGGTAGCCCCCCTAACCTATGGATGCCAGTAACTTTCCATTCCATACTAACCCTAGAAAGTATAGCCAAACCCCTTTCTGACGTAGAGAAACCCCTTAGTCCATAAATACCCTTGAGACCCCTCAATAAACACCTTTAACCGTCCACCACATTGGTGTCAGCGTCCGTTACTGGCCCCGAGGGATCCCAGGGGGGGATCGCCGTGCTGGACTCCGAAACCAGGTCACCACTGCCTTCCCAAGAAGGCAACACAGATTACAGAGTTACTTTGAAGACCATGTACTGTCCTCGAATAGATACAACAAGGAAGAATGATCATTGTGCCAAGACCAGACCAGATGCCAAGCACATTGTGGGAACTGCTAATTTGACACACCTTAGCTAAAAATGCTTATAGCATGACAACCAATCAGTAATTAACACGTATGCATGAATATAGCTACTTAACCAATGAGCTTTAAGCATTAGTGGTGTGAGACAATATATAGAGAAGGATAAATATGCTGAAAATGAAAGATAAATATGCCAAAGTTGCCGAATAAAGTAGGATGACATGTAGCCACATTGGTGTAATTGTCATTGCTCAGCCGACTCTCCAGTTGAGACCTTCTTCATGGCTCTTTTCAGAGAACTGAAAAAACAGTGAGCATTCACTTGCACCCACTTTCCCTTTTAACAGCCCCAGCCAGTCAGCTCACAAGTCCAGTGGGTCCTGGCATCTGACCAGGGCTACTGGAGCAGGACACTCTGCCTCCGTGGGGGTAAAGCAGCTCGAACAATACCCTGATTGTAAAAGCCGTCAGTGATGGATGGAGAAGGGGGATCATGCTGCACTTGGTGTAGAGCAATGCTGAGACCAGCCTGATTTAATAATCCCAAAGTTGAACATTCTGAGGATGTGAGGAACAATGTTTCCTGGCAGAAATTGACACAGGTGAGAATGTAAAAAAGTTCCTGATAAAGCAACAAAGAAGTGACAATATTGATAATTTACCTGACACTGCTGAGCTAAAGGCTGCTGACCTGGAACAGTTGGCCCAGAAACATCTGACTGACAGTGGATCTCTATAAAAACCCAGTCCCCATTTTTAACAGCAGAGACTTGTTATGAACACACAACTAAAGGCCTGGCACTGGGTGCTCCAATAGTCTATTTGCATGCAAAAGAACCAGCCAGGTTCACAAGTACTATGGTTTACCAAATGCAACAGACATGGCTCTTTTGGAGTGCCAGCACAAACTGGAGAGCGCATAAACTGCAGAGAGGCTAAATATAGCCCTGACAATACAATGGCAATCACAAGCTCAATTTCTCACGTCAAAACACTCAGCACAGCCAAGGATACAAGTCTTACTAAAAGGTGCCCCTTCTGCAGAGGGCGAAGAAAATGTGTTCCTACAATTTTCATGTCACATTCTCATCCCCCAGCTGAACACAAAATCAGTCCTTTTATACCTTATTAGCCATTATTGTGCAAAGTGCTGTGGGTGGTCAAATTGTCTGTTCTTAGCGGCTGTGTCGTATGCAGTATTTCTTGGTAGGAGGTATACCTGGTAGCAGCTGTACAAAACATTTCCTGGTATTGAGACTGCACTGCTCCTTTCCCACTTCACATTCCCACCCGATGCCATGGCAACAAAAACCTCCATCAGGTTTCCATGTCTGCTCTGATCACTGATGCTCTGATCTGTGGGGCCCATCTCACATTGAGCTTTGCTATTTTCTTCACTGTTTCATGGTTCCCACACTCTTAGCATACCCCCTTCTAGAAGTGTGTGTGGAGATTCCTCCTTTGAGTGGGGACACCTCCAAGGTTATTTCCTGAGGCTGAGTTAAAGAGCTATGCCCACAGACATTGGTCTAAGTAAGCAACATCAATCTCTACCTGATTATTTTGCCAGCTTTTGTGTCACTGTAATTATAGTTAACTATCTATACTGTGTAGTAATAATCAAGATCATCAGTATAAGATGACCATATAAATAAGATCACCATATAAATAAATAATTTTTCATATTGGTTTACCTTCCCTTATCCTGTGTGATAAAATTGTATAAAGATTCAACTACACCTGTGGAATTCTTTGGACATAAACCTCTGAGTAAATTTGGAGCTAGGACTGGATCCAGCCACACCCAGACTCCTCTCTGAGGAGGAGTCTAGAAAGAAACTGGATCCTTTCTGCACCCTGTGATTCAACAGGAGGTTACACGTGATAAAACTTGGGTGAAGCTTCCATTCTGCCTGTGGCAGCTACCTAGGCATAAATTTTGTCCCCTCTCTGCCTCATACCGCAGTTGCAAAAGCTGCCAAAACCATCAATGCCATTTATCTTTCCTCTTATCTCTGCACAGTCAGTTTGGACATTAAAGACATGACACCAGTGTCCCACCCACCAGGCCTACCAAGCTCACTTTGCTTGTGTTTGGAATGGCATTAATCATACCTTACTCATTTACCTGCATTAATTATACCTTTACTCATTTACCTGCAGGCTATGGCTACAGTCCTGCCATTGATGCCAAGGGAGCTCCAGCAGTATTAGCTGAAATTTCTCCCACTCCCGATGTCTCTCATCACCATTATCTTGCTGGCTTTCCTACCACATGTAGATGGGAATCTCACACAAGAAATTATTCCAAATTTCAGCCCTTAAAGAACACCAGGATTTTTTTATCTTCCTGGTAAATGCCAGGGTCCTGCTCAGAATGTGAAGTGTTGGGGTAACTTTTAAAGGAGTCTTTTTGCATGCCAGTACCAAAGGTATTTCTGAAAGTGTCTTGCAGTCTTTTTTCTTTACCCAATCTACTCCCTCCTCCAAATGCAAACATCAAGTCTTCTAGGTTCTAAACTGTTGTCATGAAAGGCCCAGGTTTTAGTCAGCTGGGCTAATCTCTCTATTCCCTGCTGTGCACACATTGCACCTGAGACTGGAGTATAAGCCACAAACACTTCCAACCCTTCTCCTAAAAATATTCAATGATATTGGTATCTCTATGTGCAATGGTATATAATAAGCATTAATTATAATTATTAAGCTAAGCAACTCATCAAATAACTGTACCCTCACCACTTATGTGCAGTGCAACTGATGAAAGAGTGCATTTCAGTGCACATAGCTGTACTACCACTCTTAAGAGTCAATAAAGTGGATTGACTGTAGTCATAGGAAAGAGCTCAACTCCTTGACCAAGTTATTGACTTGGCTCACAAGGAGGTAAAGGCCTAGGCCATGACCAGGTCAAGCACTTTCCTAGTTCCAACCTATTCTTTGAAAACCCACATAGGAACAGGGAGACAAAAAGCTTTGATGCATGAGAGCTGGGAACACCAGCCAAGTGAATAAGACATCAATAGCAGGTAGTTCTTCCAGAACTAATTAGTAAGGAACAAATGAAGTTGTGGGTGCAAGGAATTTCATGGAAATTCCATGACATTTAATTTGACTGCAAGCCAACCATTTTATTCCACAAATATGAAAGCCCAGGTGAGCTTTTTTTTGATCTCTCCCAGATGCACAGTTGTAACCTCTCCTTGAGCCCTCTAAGTCTCTCCTCGAGGAGAAAATTAGATCTCAGGTGATTGATATTGTGCATAACTTTGTATCATAAGGCATTAAGATAATGTATTAATACTTTTGAATTATTATTGTTACTGTATCTGTACAGTAAGATTAAACCTCCCCAGGGAACTTTCTTAAGCCTCACTTTCACATCATTTTACTTCAATAAAATCCACGTTCCAGCTATCTGTTCCAGTGCTTCTTTAAGTGGTCTAAATCTCCTCTGCAACAAGTGTAACTGAGGCACTCACAATAGCTCTAAAATATTCTTATTCATTGCTAAAAGCTCCCTTTAATAGAGTCAAAACCCTATAAAATGCGCATTTCAGTGCCAGCCACTGAGATCACAGCTATTTTGTACCTCTGCAGAACATAGTTCAGCAAACAGAAGATTCTAAGAACTGAAAGGACAAAAGTTCAGCTGCAGGCCAGCAAAATTTTGCTCTCCTGTTTCTGTTCCTGGACTTGTAGTGGCATATCTCATTTAACCTAAAGTACTTAAATCTAATTCAGCACATCTGATTTATGGTGTTATAGAAAAACAGCCTGAATCAACTAAACACACACAAAGAAAGGAGTACATAAACATCCATAATTCTCATTTTCCTCTCTTTATAACTGTATTTTAGATACATTTTAGATGAGACATTTTGGATGTCACAATAGCACCAGCACACAGGAGTTTTCCTGCCCCAAAATTCTTTAGTTACATGAGATAATTTGCTGGAAATTGCCTTAATCTCAGATTGCCAATCAAACACAGAATGTTTAGAGTAAACTTAAGCACATGTAGACCAGTAGTCACTTCTCTTTGCAAATTCCCATTTCACCACTTCCAACAGTGTATTTCCCCCTTTTACCTATTGACTTCTGACAAATCCTGATGGGAGTCATCCAATAGTCTTTAAAGAGCTGCTGATGTCATCACAAAGTCTCTCTTGATGGTTTTTAAATGATCTTGGGAGTCTGGAGAAGTCTCAGCTGACTGGAAACTGGTGAACGTTGCCCCAGTTTTCAGGAAGAGCAAGAAAGAGGACCCTGGAAAGCAAAGACCTGTCAATGTCACTTCAGGGTCTGGTAAAATCATGGAAAACATTTTTCTGAAAGGTACTGAAGAACACTTGGAGGACAATCATCAGTCACAGTCAGCACAGCTTCATGAAGGGAAAGTCAGCTTGCCACACCTGACTTCCTTCTAAAACAAGGTTACCCACGTAGCTGATCTAGGAAAGCCAGTACATTAATCTTTTTGGACTTCAGTAAAATGTTTATAGGATGGTTATGTTTTACTCCTGTAGCCTTCATGTTGCATCAGGCTGTCCTTCCCAGCCTTCCTTTTTGTTTTTCCACATTGTCTTCTCCCAAGACCAGGACTCTCAATGTGATTTTAACCAGTGTTATCCAATACTGAATAAACAGTATTTCTCAGTTTGTTAGTGGGTTTTTTTCTTTGGAGATGAAGTGAGCACACTTCATTCCCACAGTCTTTAAAAGTCCAGGTGCTCAGGTGGCGCTTTCTCTTGCCTTTGGCATGCCTTTAGGCTCTACTGGCAACTCGAGAAGCTGCATTTCCCAATCAAAAACTATTTCAGAGTGAATTTTGCAACACTTGCCTGCAGCCACGCTGTTGAGCCCACAGAAGCAGAGCAGCCCAGCTCCCTGTTTGTGACAGGACATCACTCCCTACCACAGATGGCTGGTGCACGTGGAAGAGATAACCCAGGCAAGGCCAAAGGCCTGGCAGGGGCCATCTCTGCCAGAAGGGCTGAGACCCCCAACTAAAAATCAACATCTTGGTCTGGAGGGAAGATGTGGGAAGAGATTAAGAAAAGTAAATGCCATTGACCAAGACACTGCTCTTTACAACTATAAAAGCCACACAAATTATTACAGAGATAGAAACCTCTCACACACTCCCTGGAAATGTGTAGTGTGGCTTCTCCTACGAAGCTTGGATGCATCTGTGTAGATACTTTTCCGGAAATTGAGAGGAAAGATTTGATGTAAGATTCAATGTATCTTACCATTCAGTCCATCAGCAATTGGATGATAAAATACGTTAAATCCTAACCTATATTATTTCTTTGCTAGCTGTAATATAGGTACCTCAATCACACAGCATTGTCTATCTGCTAGTAATGTCTCTTTTTTTTTATCCTGTGTGGTAACAAGTCAGGTTTACATCTTATGTCTGCTTTCCTTGGTCTATTCAACAAATCATTCATTTTGTAATAGACCTAATTGGCCATTTTTAAGAACTTGCAAAATGACAATGAGTTTTGGGGTGTTGGCCACCTCAATTAAGTTACTGTCTACTGTCAAGGGTGGGGGCAGAGGCAGGGTCTGGTTTAAAGTCCCCTCTCCATTGGTGTGGAGAGGGTGGTCCAGCGTGGTAACCCCAGCCCACCAGCAGTGCCCAGCCGAGGCCTGAAGGCTCCAAGGCTTTGCCTTGCTGTCTTCTGCCCAGGAGAAGGCAAAGTCCCTCCACAAGTTCCAGCCCTTGACTGAGTTCAGCCACCAGAGAGATAAAGGGAGAGGAGGGGGCTGCTGCCATTTCCCCTTTGTCTCCCCCGTGGCAGGCACAATCTTGGGAAGCCATCACTTCGCCATTTTGAGTTTCTCTTTGTTCCCTGGGAGTCTGGGAGATTCCAGCAACTTCCTAAAAAACTGGTGCTCTTACTGATACGTTTTGCCTGTTGCTATTTTGGGGTTTTTTAAGTAAACTGTTATTTTTCCACATTGCTGGAAAGGGATTGGTTAAAACTAAGGGGAAGTAACTCATTTTAGAGCGTTCTCCTAAATTGCCTTAAACCAAGGTTAGTCAAGCAGGACCTGCCTTTCACAAGCTCACGCTGGCTGGGCCTGATTCCCTGGCTGTCCTATAGGTGCCATGTGATGTCATTTAAGATTATATGCTCCATGACCTTCCTCAGTACAAAAGGCTCTAACTGCTATTATAGTGCACTATTTATTAATTGGTATTTTCAAAACTAGCTTAATAATTGTCAAGAAGAGATTGGTTTTGGTCACCCACACTCATGACCATGGGCAAATCTCTTTCGCTCAGCCCCAAGGAGTTACCACAAGAAGCATCCCCACTTAAAGGAAGAATCTCCACACATTCTCCTAAAAGGAATGTGCTGGAAATCCCTACCATAAAAAAAGAGACCTTGGGCTTTTGTACGATAATGTGGTTGACTGTCATGACCTACATTGCTAGGCTAGCTCAGCAGAGCATAATTCATTTAAAATACATGATTAGTACCACCACTCATTGGTTCCTTTTATCAGGAAACATCTGTCTCCCATATCTATGCCAGTGCCAGTTCCCATCAGGAAACACCAGTTTCTTAACATCCTCACATTGTTTAATTTTGAGGTGTTTCAGTCAGGCTGATATCAGCATCCTTTAACATCAAAAACAACATGGCCACCCTCCCTCCATCACTGGTGATTTTTGCAAGTAGGGTGAAGTTCAAGCTGTTTCACCCCCACCTAAACAAAAAGAACATCCTGTTATGTTCACAAATTTTCAATTTTAGTACTTACGTCAAAAAGTTTTGAAATTCCATTTCAACAAGGATGTTTGATGCAGGCCTACAGCTGCAGATTTCCACTTATTACACTTCACAGTAACAACAGCGAAATGTTGAAGTACTAAGGCCTGAACAACAGACCTTGGGCCAAAGCTGACCTCTAGATGAACCTTCCAACCAAATGTTGTATGTATCTGTTCATTGGCAAAACATGGTTTCAGTATTTACAACCCAGGCAAGGCCAAATCTAGCCTTGGTTGGGAGTATAGGATTAAAGACAACTCCCTTGGTTCGTCCTTGAGCCCTGGCCAGGCTTTGAAAGAAACCCAGCAGGAGAAAGAAAAAAACACATGTTCCTGCACTAGAAGTTATGGTAGCTTGTTTATTTAGCAGAGTAAAAATGGGATTCTCTCACAGCTAAGTCAGAAGCCTCATTTCCTGTGGGTGGAAGCACCTGCAGGATTTCCCAGTTACCAGGAGTGGTTCTCCAGTCCTTTGCTGTGACAGTAGGTTCCCCCAGCTGATGCTTAAATTATCTTATATTTTTGTAATTCTTTGCAGTTTCATATTGTATTAAATTACCCTTATTCCTTAAGTTGGTGTCTGTGTCTTTTCTGACCCTGCCCACAGCAAAACAAATTTAGAAACAATGAAACGAGCATCAATCTCTGAATGTGCCTTAAATCTTAGTGGGAACTCAGTAATTCTGCAGTTCAGAAATTACAATTTTGTAATTGCATTTTAGGACTTTTTCAGGGGATAGTACAAAAATCAAAAATCAAGGAAAAGGCATGCCATGGCAGCTGGCAATGGTCCTAATCTGCTCTCCTAAAGCTACTGATTGCACCCAGCAACACTGTCATAAGTGTCATGGGAACTGTGGTCATAGTCAAGAGGTCAAGAATAAAGAAGTCATTCTTTCATTCTTCTCACCACAAATGAGCTAATGGAGATAAACACCATTCCACATACCAACAACCAGAAGCACTAGATACAGAAAAATCAGAATTTGTCATAAGCAACACCTAAACTGAGGTCCAAGAGGTTATTCTGAAAGGTAAAAGGGACTCTTCTGCAAGCACATCAGGCATTTGGAGGAACCATGCTTCACAAGGAATTTTAACATTCTAGTTCTCCACGGTACCAAGCAACATACCAACACCAGCAAAAGCGATGCCATTGTTCAGAACAAAATTAAATCTTCAAGATTGTATTTGATTGCTTCATTGTATCGACCAAGCATTTATTGCTTTTGAATAATAGCTGTAAGCCTGAGAAAGCAATTTTCAGCAGAAAAGATTTGTGGGGAAAAGGCATTAATAACAGGGACTGGATTCATCAGGCAAATTGACGTCACCAAATATTCCATTAGGAATCCTACAGATGAAAGCTTTTCTAATGGTAGCATCAGACCCCTTTATACAGGAATATACTTGCCTCTGCAGAAAAGTTCCTGTATATAACTGAAACACATGGCTGTAAGTGTTATCTATAGCTCATGCTTTCCTGGTTGTGACTATTACTATGATGGAAGAAAATGATGAAAGAAGATTACTATGATGGAAGAAGATTACTATGATGGAAGCTAAAGATGAAGCAGAGTCCTAAGCTGCCTTGTCTTGGATGGAACAACATTTTTAGAAAATACCTACACCCCTGCACTTCAACTGCAAATTTCTATCTATTACCATCACACTGGTCTGCCAGTGGACATGGTCAGCACAAAAGACACAAACACCAACTTTAAGAAATAAGTGTAATTTACTATAGATTATAACCGCAAAGAATTACAAAAAGATAAGCTAAACAATGCACGTAATCACTACTACAGAAGATTGCCTATAGTAATTAAGAAAGGTACATCACCTAATATTTTATTATCATCCAGATCTGCACTTCAGCTGGGGAGCTCCAGCCACAGCCAAGGACACAAGAGCCACTCCTGGTAACTGGGAAATTCTTCAGGCACATCCACCCACAGGCAAGGTCTCCGTCTTTGCTGTGAGAGGGTCCAGCTTCCATGCTAGTGAATAAACAAGCTTCCATACCTTCTCTGCAGGAACACCTGGTTTCATTCTCCTCCTGAGTTCCACCCAAAGCCTGGCCAGGGCTCAAGGGGGAACCCAGGGATTTGGCTTTGACCATGTACCTCCAAACAAGGCCAGGTATCTGATTTCATGGCCTCTAAACAAAGGAAGAAGTACATTGCTATCACACTACATGTTTCACTAGTGATCACACATCTTTCAGTAATACATGGATACAAATATTATACAGTGTTTGGTTGGAAGGTTCATTGAGAGTCAACTTCAGCTCAGGGCCTTTTGTGCAGGCCTCAGTGCTTCACAGAAATAAGCGGAGAAACCATGAACATGCTTCAGCCTCTGACGAATTTCCAAATTCTTTTCAAGTTTCAATGCACATTTAAAGAACTGTCCTAAATCCCCAGTAGTTGTAGACATCCTCTTCTAGAAGTATTGATCCCTAATCATCCATCCAAAGCCTATAGACCACTCATTGGAGACAAGCTTGCAATCTATGTACGAGATTCTGACTGAAGTGCAAATTAAGACGTTAATTGAATTTCAGTCATTGAAATCTTTCACAAGCACATACTAGAAGACCTCTTTGGCATATCTACATTTTATGGAGACCATTTCTATCCAGCATGAAGGCATAGCGCTACTTTCAAGGTCACAGGAGTGTTTTTAAAAAGTCTCTTTAAAAATCTTCTGATTGGTGAAGTTTCCTACCTGCTATAATATCAATCCTTCCATTAAATTAGCTTCCTTGAAATTCCTCAAAGTAAAAATTCATGCAGCGTTTTTAATCTACATTTTCCACTGCCCTATGCAGTTTTGAAACACCTGAGAACTTGAATTGCTTTGTTTATCAGAAAGACAAATAATAGTCAGAAACATGATAGTAGTGTCTAGCAATCAAATGGGTGAAAAAATAAAAATCCATTCCCTGTCAGCAATGGGAAATTACTATAGTTCTTTGAAAAACAGCATGTAACAGTATTGAATATGGCTTAGAAATGCTTTGAGTAACAACAGCAGGTTGGTAAGTTTGTATTTTCCTTAACCCTATTTTCTTCCCCATTTCCATCTCTTCAGTTGCACTTATGCTGCCACTTGTGGTACTTCAGGATGAATCAAATTAGACAATAAAATGGAATCCACAATTTCACTTTAAAAAGGAAAAAGAATCACTTCAGCAATCTTGTGTGTCTCTTCAGACAGATGTGGAGGAACAGGAGCTCCTCACTGGTCTTGGCTCCTAGAAGGGACATCAATAAGCTTCAAGTGCTGCTTTTACCAAAGCAGCAATGACCCATACCAACAATACCACCAGAGTCTCCTATGTCCTGATTACCAGTGGTATATCAAAAGATCCCCTGGCAGATTTTGAATTCCAATTTCCTGTGCAGCACCAGTCTCCTTTCATCAGTTCACTTTAACAGTTTAAAAAGGCAAAGATTAGCATTACCTAATGCTAAAAACCATAATGGGTATTTTCACCATTTTTCCTCACTTTTCTTTTTTCTTTCCTTTTAAGTCACCAGCAGGCTCTCATAGCTATGCTTAGCAAAGCAGAAGCTCCTCTAGGCATCAAGAGAATTGAACTGCACCTTCTTGTCTTTCTGCTCCCTCTTTTACTCCTTTTGCTGTGTCTTCATCCATGCCTTTTAATTTATGGGGTGGGGAGTACTGCTCTGCCTCTGACAACTGTTAATCTTCAACACAAAGAAGAAAGGCTCAACATCAATGTAACAGGTTAATTATTACAAGACCACAAATCCTATGATAGTCTCACATCCCCAATGCACTGATATGACATTCATGGCTGCAGCAAATGAAACCGAACAAAAAAAGGCAAATAAAACAGATGAGAGAGGCTGATTTGTGTAAATTTTAGAAACACATAAAAATATTCTCCTACCGAAACACCTTAGCCCGCAAAAAACAATCCAAGTCAGCAATTTGTTGGGTTCTAAAGAGTCCGTATTTGAGGGAGAGCCTCCTGAAAATCAGAGTATTTTAGTGATTTACAACTACTTTTTTGAAGATTAGTAGGAAGGGGGAAGAGCAAAAAAGCATCTGTGTTTTAAACAGAATTCGGAATCATAACAATAAAAATAAAACTTCCAAAAATTCCAGCAGACCAGTGAACTGGAGAAAGTTTTAGCTTTTATTTAGAACAAAACACCCCATAACAGACTTGACATAAAGCATGCTGTAATGTTTTCTGCCTTCTGTCAAGACATCAGACAATGTATTTTTTTCTGGGGGAAAAAATACTGTTTAAGTTCAAACTACAAAGAGATCTGGATCCTTGAACTCTGCCTCCCAAATCACTGCAGTGAGCCACACAAACACACTGAACTAACGGGTCCTGGTAAACATCTTGGGAACCACAGCAGTGAATTTTCCAAGACCTTGCACCTTGAGACCCAGGGGAACTTTTATGCTGGCACAGGCATCAAGAGTAAAGGATTTAATTTTGCAGACAGTAATAAAAAAAGCAACCATTATCACAAGTCTGTTTTCTCTGCCAGGAATATCTGTTTGAATGTTTTGGGACATCAGTTGGCCAGTTCAAGGGAACAGGGTGATAAGAGCCCAGTAGGAGTTTTTGATGTTTGTAACAAGTTTTACTCCCATCATTCTCAGACGAATATTTTCTCAGGAGAAAATATTTACCAGGAGTCATGACGAGCTGGGTTTGTCTTATTCTATTTTTAAGTCCTCCCAGGAGGCTAGTTAAGAGCAGGGAAATGCCCAGAGTTACCACGGAGCTCCTAGAAAGAGTTGAGTCAGCCCCTAACAACTTCTAGGAAAACAACTGCCAGCATTCCTATGGGCTTCTGAAACACATTCAGTGCTCCGGCAGAAAATCTACCCACGTTCTACCTGATGCCTCCGGTTTTCATTGATGCCACGGACCAACAAAGCACGGGAAGAAAGCTGCTACACATTGATGGGGTACTTGCACTATTTTCTCATATTTCCATCTGCCTCTGCAGATGGAATAAATAATTCTATCAGCTACACTACTCAGACAACCCAAAGCAGAAATAGCGAGCCTATACCTCTTTAAATGCGTTCTGGTTTTGTTGGTTTTTTTTTTCTTTGATAGTATAAACAATTTTATCAGTTATATCATAAAACACGACTGCAGGTGTCCCTCTTACACAAAGCAGAGCACCGGCTCCTTACCGCACATCTTGTGATGCCTATGAGAGGCTGAAGCACAAAAATCACTAACGCTGGACTTTCATCGCAGAATTTAAACACAGGACACTCGAAGCAGCCAGTCTTCAACCCTGACAGCGATTACTTTCTCTTGTCAGTTTTGTTCCTCTTCGAGGGAGAGGAAGAGGGAGGGATTTCCTCGTTTGTTGTTGTTTTAGGTGTTTTTAGTATCTTTCAACCGCATCTCCCTGCACTGTCATACCCTACGGAGAAACAGCAAAAACAAACCTCTGCCTCCTTAAGGTGATCGGGGCGGGGGATGCGTTCCGGAGCCTGCGCATCGCATTGTCCTCGTTCAGGCAGGACTCGCAGGACTCTCTCGCTAATTGATGGTAATTGTTTCTGCGAGACCAGCAGCGGACGAGCCGCCGGGCCCCGCCGCCCCACCGAGCCCGCGGCCCCCGCTCGCTGCTGCTGCTGCGGCCTCCCCGCTCCCGGGCCCGGCCACCGAGAGGGCTCCGCCCGCCCTGAGCCCTCCGCAGGGCCGGCAGCTCCTGGGGAGCGGCTCCTGGCAGTCCCGGGGGCCGGCGGGGAAGGGAAGGAGGACAGCACGGCCCGGCCCCACCGCCCCGCTCCCTCCCTCCCTCCCTCCTCGCCGCCGCACGTCCTCACCGAGCCCAGGCAGCGACTCGTCCGGAGCCCCGAGTGCCGGCCCCGATGGGAGACGGAAGGAGAGCCCGGCTGGGCAGCGGGGCGGGAGCTGCGGGCAGCGGGGGCGGCGCGTCCTGCCCTGCCCGGCCCTGCCCGCCCGGCGGCTCTGCGGGATCGGGGCCGCGCTGCCCCGGGGCTCACCCGGCGATAGATTGAGCCTCCTGGTCCTCAGATCCCTCCAGGCTAAGCCCCTCCTCCCTGCCCCTTTCCCTGCCTCCCTTCCTGCCTCCTCAGCTCTCCGGAGAACTCCCACAGCTCCCTGCTTCGAGCGCGTCACGTTTTTTTTTTTTTTAAGAAAAATAGAGTGGTTCTTTCACATTCCCCCGAGGACTGAGGGCCAATTGAGACCTCAGTTAGAAGAAATGTTATAAAAGAATCGTTTTAATAATATAAAAGAGGTGGCGGTGATTACAAGTAGAAAATTGTGAAGTGTAACGTATGGGAATGGCAGGAGTGCTGTGTTTAAAATATGCAGCAGAAACCTCGCCAAGAAGCTAATGAATGTCTTATGTTTTGTTCCAGAAACTCTGGAGATCATCATGCAGAGCAGCTATGCTGCTTGGAAACCCCCTACCCTTCCCACCTTGATTGGAATAGCAAGGATTCCAATCAGTAGTGCTCAGTAGAGATGCCCCAATTGTCTTAAAGTTGATGAAGTTATTTATTTAACTAGCAAAACGAGTTACGGTGAAGGTTAGATTTAAGAGCAGGCATATTATGCATAAAATGTAGAAGAACTTACATAACCGTGACCCAGCATCAAAAGGATGGATTTTGTTTACGAAGTAAAATGTGCTAGGAGGAGTAATTCCCTGTTTTCCTGGCGCCAAAATAAAGAAGCATCTGCTCATTCACATTGTGTGGAAAAGTCAGTGTCTGTAAAGGAGAGAGTACACTGGGCTTCACACCTGTGAAGTGTCCCGAGGTTTTGGAGGGCACAGCCTCCTTTTATCCTAAACTCCTGACTGTGTGTTGCTGTGTTCCTTTCCTCATTGGCTGAGGTATTAGGAAAGCATGGATTTCCTGAATCACCTACTACATATTCCCTCTTGAACATGCATGGTCATTTTCCCCTCAAGTTTGGAAGTTCAGGCTTCAGAGTTCCAAAACAGACTTCCTCCTATTATTCTCAACTCAGAAAATCAAACTGCCTGGGTCCAGCTGCCTGGGTTCTGTAACTTGCTCAGCTTGGTGTTCATAAAGACATGAAGATCCATTCCCCCTAAAGGCCCCCACAGCCACTGAACCTGACTGGTTCTTTCAGTCATTCCTGGAGAGAATAATGCCCTATTTCTGCTATCATTAGTGAAGACCCCCACCCATCGAGTTTTTTGTGAAGATATTAGCATATATTTTTCCTATCAACATAAAATTGATGTTGGATAAGTTTCTTTCATGCCATTTGCTCATACAACTGGAGACTAATAAAAATTCACTGGAGTTATCCCAGTGCATCCTGCACCATCATGAAGTAATGCCTGTTTCTTAAAACTACATTGGTGTTAGGGAGTTTTATTCCTGCATTTTGGTGACAACTCAACAATGCTGAAGTCTGACATTCTGAGGATGTGAGGAACAGTGGCACAGGTGAGGATGTGGCAAGCAAATTTCCTTATCAAGCAGCAACAAGTGATACTACAGATAAGGTATTTAAAGTTGCTGGGCTAACACAGCTGGCCTATGACTGGCAGTCAATAACTTCACCATATAAAAGCCTGGTCCTTTTTTTTTTTTAAGAAATTTTCTATTACAGTTTTGAAGTATTAGAAAGCAGGCATTCCTTATTGCATTGCTGGTCACCTGGAGGATATTTCCTCTAATTAGGTGTGTCAGGACACTTTACAGCAAAGCAGTTATTCCACCATGCTCATACATATGGATTACAGTGTACTTCCTGGCTAAGACATGATCATCACTTTTCCTAGAACTAATTTCAACGCATCTCCCTCTTACTGGAAGTCCTCTTATGATTGTAGAGGGTTATCTGAAGGGGTTTCTGGTGGTCCCACTCACCAAGTGCCCACAGTGTTACAGATGACCATGTCTTGACCTTCCCTTAGGGCATGTACTGTTGCTTCCTATTACATGGCTGTGCCACAAAAGCCACTATATCCCTCATTATGTGTTTATCCACTGGTTCCAGCTACATTTAGCATCTTGTGTGTCTACTTTTACGTTCTGTTATCTGCTTCTTTGAGACACACTGTTCCTTTCTTTGGACTAATAAAGCATCATTGCGTCCTGTCCCTGGCTAGGCCTGGGCACCAAGGAGTTCGTGTTCTGCTGTGTCTGAAACAGCAGCAGTAGCCACTGTAGTGCAAGTGGGCAGAGTTGAACAGGATGTGGCAGGAGAGGAAATCTGCATGTAGGAGGAGCAGCACCTTTCTGGGGCCCACTTCCCTGTTCTGAGACTACACCCAAAAAACAGTGCCAGTACCAAGATGAAGTCAAGAAGCAGGCATGAACTGTTGACCAAAGCATTGAGACCACCAAAGACCCCCTCAAAAATCCCACAACCCACTTCTAGAGATATCCTACAGAGAGATCTAGATTGACTGGAGAGCTTTCACAGTCATCCACCTCTATGAGTATATCAAGAGCAAGTTCTGGGTTCATCACCTGGGAGAGGGTAATTCTGGTTACATGTGCAAATTTGGGACTGTAAGGAGTTAAAAAGCACAGTTGCCTATCTGAAACACTGTTTAAGGCTAGGGAAGGACTTGCAACAGGATAAATGTTGTCATCTTACTGCTTAAGTCCCATACCTTCTCAGTGATTGCTCACATGCAGCTCCTCACAGCACTGACTTCTTCTTCTTCAGCACAGCCAACAAACTCCAGCTCTCCCTTCACCCAGCTAACCCCCTCTTTTGTAGCACTCGTCTTCTTATTGGACACAGCTGTGGCCTGTGAAGGACAGGCCTGTTCCTAATCTTTGGTGATTAGTACAGCTGCAACTCCTCAGGTGTGAGATTGCCTTCTGCACCATTCTCTCACATTCTATCCCTCCACAGATAAACACAAAAAGAAGGAATTTACAACAGGAAGGCTCCCATTCCAGGCCTGGTGGAGGCTTTATCTGGTTAGCACATCCTGGTCAATGCATCCAGACACAAACTTCTGTTGTGGCAAGCTGTGTGAAAGGAAACAACTACTCATACACATACAACCAGTCAAACAAAGATCACCCCATATTATGGACAGACAGTACCTGCAACCAACAGAAGCCCCTCAAAGCCTTGGAGGAAGCATTCTCAGAAAGAGGACCTTGCCTACCCTCACTTTTGCATGCCATGAAGACACCCCCAACCTCACTTCATGTGTAAATTAGGAACACGAACAGACCTCCATTGATACTCAGAACTTGGACTGTATAAAGGTGGGACCACCAAAAGAACAACTATCACCCCACCACTGAGAAGCCCAGGGTGAGCAAGGAGCAATGGGACACCCCTGGCTCCATGGATGGTGGATCTGCTTGATATCTCTCTCTCTCTCCTCCTCTCTCCTCTGTTTTCTAGTTCTTTTTCTATCTCCCTACCTCATGTTTGTTAAATAAAGTCCATGTAGTTGACTCCAGCATATGGTCTCATTTGCACCTTAATTCAGGCAGAGTCATCTCTCAACTAGCAACTCTCTTAATTCAGGCAGAGTCATCTCTCACTAGTAAATCTCTTAATTCAGGCAGAGTCATCTCTCACTAGTAGCGGGGATGTGAGGCTGAAGAAAAGCCCTTGAAAAGAGATCTGGTGATTTGGATTGATGGCAAGTTGGGTATGAATCAACAGAGTTCCCAGGCAGCCAAAAGGGCCAACCACATCCTGGGGTGGATATCAAGCACAGCACTTTGAGCCTTTTGAGGGAGGTGATTGTCTTGCTCTACTCTGTATTGGTGTGACCCCACCACTGTAGGGAGAGTTGTGTGTGAGTTTTAGGCAACCCAATATAAGAATAACATCAAATTACTAGAGAGTGACCAGAAGAGGGTGACCAGGGTGGTGAATGGCCTCAACTGTAACCTTTGTGAAGAGTGGCAGAGGCCACTTCATTTCTTCAGCTTGGAGAAGACTGAGGGGTGTCCCCATGGCAGCCTACAACTTCCTTGAGAGGGATGTATGAATGAGTATTTTGGCTGCTTAAAGAATCATCATCATCAAAGTCATTAGTAACAGAGGTTTTAATATATATTTTGAAAGTGTGGCTTTCAGATGAGAGAATTCAGTGGCAAAGTTTACTACTACATAGAATAAAGCATACAAAGAAAAATTGCATCCAAAAATGTTTAAAATAATTTTCACAGACTCTGGGTTACAAAAGGATGGGAGTGCTAAAGATTAAGGGAGACATACCCATTGGGTCACAATATTCAGAATGGATCCCCTTGCCAAACTTAGCCTCAGGCTTGCTCAAGAGTTTTATGTCTAAAAGATTTAGAAGCACTTAATCATTATTTTAACACTTAGAAAATTATTCAATAGAGTTTGCCATAGGTAGAGTAACTGAACTATAAATCTAAGCTGGCAATTTTCATATAGTACTTGCCCTAAGGGATCTAAAGCCAATCAGACACACAGACAGAAGGCAACATGTACAAAGGTTCCTATTAAAAATTCCCCCCACACCGAGGTCAGTGAAGGAATGCCTTTGCATCTCTGAGCAAGCTGAGCATTGAAGAGTGGTGTATCAACACAGGCCCCCTTTCAACACAGCTTCCAGAGATGGTCCTCCAAGTACCAGCGTGAGAGCTGGCAGCTCTGAGAGCTGTCCCACCTGGAGTCAGAGGCTGGGACACAAAGCTGCTGACCTCCAGGAGAGCTCGGAGGGTCTCGCTCAAGACTGCTGCTTACAGGGTTGCAAAATGCTTGGCTTTAGTCACCTGTCAGTCTCCAGGATGATTCAGGCAGGTAATGTCCCAAGGCTGTCAGGGCATGGCTAATTATCTCTTGTCCTTTGTTAGGCAACAGAAGCATCTGCTAAGGGCAGTGCCTTCCCACTATAGTCATGCATGAGTTTCTGGTAAATGGTACAAAGCTGTGTGAGGGGAAGTCCACAGGGGACATTAGGAAAAGGTTCTTCACTGAGAGGGTGCCCAGTCAATGAACAAGCTTCCCAAGGCTGTCTGAATTCAAGGACCTGAGAAA